GAAAATGTGCAACATTCAGAAGAAAAAAATGCACCCCCAAAATCAGAAAAACAAGAAGTTAAAGGTGGGACTTGAGGAAGATTCAAACCTTGACAGATGAAAATCCAAGCTGGTAGAGTTCAACCATGCTGCCACACCACAGAGAGACCTAGAGCACCTGTAGACTCATGAACAAGTAACATATTCCTCCTGGCATGGGACTGTTCCAGTGGTACATCAGTTGCAGTGGCTGGCAGCTGAGTGTGTCAGGTCTTCAGGTGTTAGACAGGATGCTTTCCTAGACAGGTGAGGATGCTTCCACTCAGCAGGATGCTGAAAACTGGAAACTGTGACCATTGCTGTAAAGAAAACTCTCACTGAGCAAAAATCAAGAAAGTGCAGTCTCTGGCAACAGAAGTGTCATATCACTAGGTCATTAACTATATTTCAAAATATTTAACTAGATTCCAGATCTAGTCAAGAATAGAAAAAATTCCTTTTTCCCCCCCTCTCTTATTTTTCATCCCTAACGACTTCCCATGCTCTAGGCATATCACGGTCTTTCAGGGAAAATAAAAAAGAGGGTTACAGTAAATGGCAAAGCTCAGTGTACCTATGCTACAAAGAGAACAAATTCTAAAAAAGTTTAATCTGCACAGCTTTGCCAGAAACATTTGGATAAAGTGGAAGTAACATAGGAATGTAATATATGCCAAACCTGTAAGAAAGTAGCGAGTGGCATCATGAATTCTTTTTACAATATTTCACTCATAAACAGTTTCAATTTAATCAGAGGTACTAAAACCCTAAAATCTTTGGAATCCATTCTTCCCTGTACCAAGAGAGAAATCAGTTAACATCACACATTACATTCCTATGGTCACTGCTCCTCTTTCTGGCAAGACAAAGCCAAGTTTTCACATTGGGGGTGGGGGGGGGGAGTGGGGGGGGGTGTGAAGCAATATAAACTAAGACAACAAAATCAACCCACTGAATTAATCCCAGTAGCAAGACCCTGATCAGAAACTATTTCCTGATCACGTTGAAAATATATGTTATGTGTAGTAGATATAATTCGCGCCATTTCTAGTATGATATATGTGATATTGAATATTTGTTGGAGTATACATGTTTGTATTAGGAGTCCCCCCCACCCTCGCAGGCGAGACCTGATGTATATTAGAACCCGATTTACATGTAAAAGGATGTGGCTTGGCCAGGAGATGGGCCATGTGGAGATGGGCCATGTCTGGAGAGATACGGGGGACCCCAGGCCTCCTGTAGCAATCTCTGAAACAGTAAACAACATTTTTTCATCATGTGGCCATCAACACTTTCCTGTTCACAGATATGAAATGGACATTTTCTATTGATATTAAAAGCCAACATATTAAAGTCCTATTCAGGAATAAAACCAACAATTCTTGTACAATGATAGCAAATAAAAGATATTTACATTGTAATTTCAAATTCTGTCACCTCCTGTAATGAGAAAATGATAACAAACTTGCATTAAGATCTCCTGTCAGAGAACAATGCCAATTTTTGTCTCTAAACATTGCACTTTGATTCCTGCCTATCTGTTTGTTTCAGTTGTGTTGCTTAGGCATTCAACACGTTGCATGTTTACTCCATGATCTATCTGTTCAACCAAGATTGCATACATCAACTGGAGTACAATAAATGAAGCATGAACACAGGCCACATTACTATGAAAATCCTCTCCTACGGGTAGTGAGCAAAGAAGAAAATCGCAGAGAGATGCCAAACCTAATTTACTCAGCATGTCCCATTCTGTCCAACAGGATGATTCAGTGCGTATCCCTGATCCATGAGCTATGGCATAGGTGAATTCAGAAAGAAAACATACAAATCCAAGCACGTACACTATCTGGTTTTAACAAGTACACTTTGCTTTTCACCAAAAAGCCAACAATATTTATCTATTTGTTTATTAAATGTAACATAAGAAACAGGTGTATGACACTAAAACACAATGGAAACAAAATCACAAAAGGCATGGTATTTTTTGCCCTACATTCCTAAGGATGCAATTGAACTATTCTCTCCCATTCAAAAAGCATTTGAAATCACTGGACAAAATCCAAAGCCTTAGTCATGCTCAGAGGCAGCAGCCCAACAACATGTGTGTATTGGCCAGTCAGCTTCTGACTACTGCATTAGAATGTGTCTAAAATTGATGCTACCACATGAACCACCAAACAGAGGGAGAGAGATAGGTGGGAGAGGAGTAAAGAGATTTTTATCCACAGCTTCTCCTTCAAAAGACAAACTCATTGAAAAAGTAAGACTTAGGTCTGTTTCTCATGGAACTGGTATTTTCTACTAAGGAAGGACAAAAAGATGGTTTGGTTGTAGGTATGCAACTGCAATGCAGCTGTATGCATATTGCTACTAATATTTTGAGGACACAGATAAAGAAGTATATCATGAGGCAAAATAAAATACATGCCCAGCAGTTGCTCCATAAGTAACTCCTGGTCTAGATGAACAGTGAATTTGGTTAGAAAGACCCCATCACACAGGCTTATTGCTATCACATGGCTCAGTGTGATTTTCCTTGAATACAGAGGAAGAGGTATACTGCCTCCGATGAAGAACCCATTCAGTCCAACATCCTGTTTCCACCAGAGGCCACAGGCAAACGTCAAAGGAAGAGGAAAAGCAAGGCAAATATATTATATCTTCTCTGCAACACTCCCACAGCTACCAACTGCTTTCAGCTCAGGGAATTTCCTGAGCATGAGGGGGGTATTCATTCATTAACTCTCAACACAGTCCTCTTCCAAATACTTGGTCTTCCCTGCACCCTAGTGAAACAGCCTGTATTCAGCATGACATTCAGAAAGACACTAAACAAAGAACCATCTTCTCTTGCTTATTTAGACCTGGGCTCCTGCTACTGCAAATCTGATGGTTTCTACTCAGAAAGTCAGCTGGCATCCACCCTCTACAAGTTACATAGGATGTGATGGGCCTTATGCATCCTCCCTCTTTGGTGAGAACTCCAAACCTCAACTCTCCCTTTCAAGGGACAAAAAGTCAGACAGCCGAGCATCTTTGTTATTCTTTTCTCATTTCAGCATTTGCTTTCTAAGAAGCAGGAAACACAACAGGGAACAGTACTCATGGTGCGAACTCACCACAGCTTTCTGGAGTGCCATATATGTATTCCTGGTTTTGTTCTCTGTCCCTTTCCTGGAAATGTACCTTGCTTTTCCAAACACAAAGATGGCATTCCTGCAGGGCATATATACTTAAATCTCAATACTAAGTGGCAGCAACTAATTCAGGTATTCCTACCTTTTATGTAAAGATATAACAGTACAGTTTAAGTAAAGATATAAAGTTATGACATAATCTTGCATTTATCTACTCTGTATTTAATCTTTTTCACTGCCTAATCACCTACAACTCCTTACAGATGACCCTCACCCCATGCTAACTTAAAAAGGTTTTGCACAGTCAGCAAACATTCTTGTCTTGCTGCTCACTGTTTCCTCCATGGGAGTGATGAATTGTGAAACATGCTCAGCTGCCTCCTTGCACTCAACTCCTCATTGATGATGGTCTCTGTGGGTATGAAATAATACACATCTGCGCTTGACAATTAATGACAGCCTACCTTCTAATAGATGGCTACCAGCAGCCAAGGAATACTTGATAACACTTGGCATACAGAACCTGAAAAACTGTTTAAAACAGACATAATTAGAATTATTATCTCATGTGCATGCATTAAGCCACACGTGCTTAATATTAAGCACAAATAGTGCATGACCAGAGCAATGCATATGAGATAGTTTGTAGCTCCTTGCTAATATACAACTATTAGTTTTATTACCTTCTCTTGGCAATGAAAATTAGGAGTATTGTGTTTGATTAATTTTGGTCAGAAGCAGAGCTGGGGAGAATATTCTGCTTTGATTGCCCTGTCAGCCTGCCTCTGAGAAAAAGAAAAAGCCAAACATCTCTAGTAGATACTTCTAAAACAGTTTTACTTAAATTAACACTTGCATACACAGTTGCGGCCCACAGCCAATTTTATTTGAACACCTTGCCTCTGAATTTGCTTTTGTTTATGTATTCTGGTTTCCTTTTAATCCTAATTCCAGTTTGGTTGCATAACAATAATGTCCTTTTGCCCTTAAAACCCTTACACAGGGTCTCAAATCTGGCTTTGCTTTAAGGCAATCATTGGTTTACGAATGATACAGAACTATTCGTTACCCCACAGGCACAACTCAGTTCATTCCTCTCTAAATGTCTGCTCCTACAAAACAAGGAAGAAAAGACACCAGAATAGCATAAGGAATCCAAACATACGTGTGTTTGCTTTTCAAGCAAACATTTCCATTTCCAAGACATCTTGTAAACGCTTTTCTTCTATATTTTTTTATTTCACTTGTTTCTACGTGTTTATTACTCTGTTTGGAACTCCACTGTAAGTCAGTCCAAACAAGGGAGTAATGAGGTTGGAGAAACGTATGCTCATACTGTATAATTGCATAAGCTGCTTCCTGTATACTGAGGTGACGATTTGCATTTTCATCTATTAAATACCTTGTGTTCTAGATCCTTCTCTCTGACTGAAACGTATTTGGACATCTCTACTGTGGCACTTTTCCAACTTTATACAAACACTGGAAAGCAATCTTGCTGAAAGCAGACGGTTTAACATGACTTGGTTATTAATTTTTAAGGAAGAGGTTCTGTGATCTGCGACAAGAGAAGTATTTTAATTGATGGGAGGAGCTACCTACTACTCATACAAGTATTAGAACCACTTAAAATGTCTTCATCTGCATTTCTGTAGATGTGTGTGTGTGTGTGTGTGTGTGTGTGTGTGTGTGTGTATATATATATGGAGATATATATAAATTTCCCAGAAGCAGGATGTTCTTTTCTCAGCGTTCATAGCACACTCTGCTGGCTGTTGTCGAAAGTTAATGCCAAGCGAGGACGACAAGCTAAAAGGATATAAAATGTTTTAGGACACAGGAGAAACACAATCTATGCAGGTAATTACCGCGAGCATTTGAACGGAGAGGCACAAGGGACGTATTCTGGAATCAGCAAGGAAGGGTTGGGAGGAAACTAGGAAACTAGTTTAGTTTTACGCAAGAGAGCAAGCTTTTCTTTCTTTTTTTTTTTTTTTTTTTTTTTTTTTTTTTTTTTGGGGGGGGGGGGGGGGGGGGTAGGGAAGGAAGGCTTCTCCTTGTGCTGAGGTCATCCCGTCTCAGCATGGAGGCCGGGAGCATGCATTTGTGCCAGTGCCTCCATTTCCGTTCCTTCAAGGAGAGGGCAGGCACTGCCTGACGGGCGGGCGAGGTTCACTGGCTGCTCGGCATTAAGTGGTTTTATATGAAAGTGGCTTAGAGCCACATTTGCATGACAAAGCCATTTGCGCGTCCCTCGGCTGTAAGGGAGGCTGCAGCCTCCATTTATCCTCCCTTGCACGGAACACGCGAAACCATTAAGGGCAGGACGGGGATTTTGTTAGGAAAGCGCTCGCTGCCGGTGCCGAGCGAGGCTGGCACGGCGGCGGGCTGCGCACAGCAGGACCAGGAGTGGAGAGAGCGCTCTAGCAGTTTTCAGCGCAGAAAACGTGGCCGAGGCCGTTTCCGGCCGAGAACCGGCCTCGCGCGGGCCTGTGGCGGGGCCGAGCCGGGCGGACAAAAGGGGCATTGCTGGGTGACGCTGCTGAGGAATTCCTGCCGGGCGGGGCGGGATTTATGGTTTTTTTTTTTTACACGGGGCTGCTCGGGCCCTAGGCGGGGAACGGTGCGGAAAGCGCAGGGTCATCGTCGGCTCCCCTCCCCCATTCCGTTCCCTGCCCGGTCCCGCGGCCCCGCTCCCTGTACCGCCGCCCCCCTCGGCCCACACCGCCCCCCCCCCCCCCCCCGGGCCGCGCGCGCCCCCCACCCCCACCCCCACCCCCGCGCGCCACGCGGGCCGCGGGCCCCGCCCCGCCGCCTGGCCGCGCGCGCCCCCCCCTTCCCCTCCCCCCCTCGCGCGCCCTCCCGGCGCGCCCCGCGCGGCGGCGGCGGGGCGGGGCCCCCGCCCTGGCGGCTCGCGAGGATGGGCGGGGCGGCAGCTGCGCGCCTGCGCGGGCGGCCTCGCCCCTTCTGTGGCCACCCCCGCCCCCCGCCCTGCGCAGGCGCAGTGCGGCGGCGGCTCGGCGAGGGGAAGGGCGAGAGCGGCTGCCGGAGCGGGGGGGACCACGGGGCTCGGTCGCTCCCGCCGCCGCCATGGCGGGCGCGGCCCCGGCCCACCAGCAAGACCACGAGCAGGAGGTTTCGGCCGCGGCGGGCGAGCGGCCGCACCTCTCAGCGGCGGCGCTGGCGAAGATCGAGCGGAACCGGCAGCGGGCGCTGGCACTGCGGCAGGCGCGGCTGGCGGCCCGGCCCTACCCTGCCGCAGGTCGGATGGCGGCGGCGGCGGAACGGGCGAGTCCCCGCGCCCTTTTTTCTCTTTTTTAGGGGGGAGGTTTCGAGAGGGGAAAAATGTGTGGAAAGGGGGGCGCCGCCGGCCGCGAGGTGGTGGGGGCGGCGGAGGGGGGGGGTGGGTGCGGTAGGGTGGCTGGAATGGGGTGGGGGTTGGGGGGGAAAATCCGCCGCGGCGCGCGAGGGGCCCCCCCTCCCCCCACGTGTGGGGGAGGGGGGGCTCTTGCACGCGCGCGCTCTCCGCGCGGCCCCCCGCCTCGCACGCGCGGCGCGGTGGGGGCGGGCGCGCGCGCCCCCTGCCGGCGGCGGCGCTTTAACGCAGCGCCCGCCTCGTTTGTGCTCCCGCAGGCGGCGGCGCGCGGGCGCGGGCCCTCCCCAAGGTCGTGGACACGGGAGGGGGATTCTTCCTGGAGGAGGAGGAGAGCGAGCAGAAGGAAGAGCGCGGCGCCGGCGAGAATATCGTGCATCCACCCGGTAATTAGGAAAAAAACCTGTAGGGAGCGGCGGGGAGGCGGCGGGAGGAGGCGGCGGGGCTGGCGGGGGAGGGCAGGAAGGCGCGGGGGCGACAGTGAGCCGGCTCCGGCCGCGCCAGCGGGGCGGGATAGATGGGCGCCTTTTTTTTTTTTTTCCCGGGCTTTTTTTACTCTCCTTTCTTACCCTCTTTTTCTTTCTTTTTTTTTTTTTTTTTTTTCTTTTTTTTTTTTTTTTTATTGTTGCCAGCCCTTTTTCTCCTTCACACGTTTTTCTGGATGTGCTCGATTAGTGGCGCGTCCGATTCTTTTCAGCAATTAATCGGCTATAGCAAATGCGCGGTAATTAAAAATGAAGAATTTTAAGCCGCGGAAGTGGGACACAGCCAGTACCCTTGGGTATAGCACATTTTAATTTTTTTTCCTCCTCCATAAACGTTATTTTCATTATTTCTTTCGGGGAATTTATATTTTAAGACCGACATAAGGGTAAATTTTCGCGGCTTCGTCGGTTGTGGGAATTTTGGGATTTATGTGACCGGAGCGCTGCTGCAGTGCCAGCTTTTATCGTTATAAAACGTGCTGGCGCCAAGTTACTGATCGTACGGTGGAGGATTTCAGCACATTGCCTTGCGATATTTCCCCCCCCCAACCCCCCCCCCCCACAAAAAAAAAAAGCAAATGGAGAAGTAAGGGTCCCAAAATAGACCGACTTTCTTCTCTCGGATTGTCTTTGTCTTGCTTTGTTCTGCTTGAATCAGCTGCGGGGCTGTTGGTGCAGTGTATCTCTTTGTTAGAAATCAGCACCAATTTGATTAACAGTGTAAACAATTAGCAGCCCTGCTTCTTTTGATGGGCTAATGTTTAATAATAAATTAAAGTAGATCTGGGATGCCTTTACACTGGGCGTATTTTTTGCTGTGTAATTCATAACGTCATTGTCTTAATAAAATGTCTTCGTGTTCGGGAGCACTGCCTTAAATGATGGAATGTGATGTAAGAGTATGAAATGACGGTGAAGTACTGAGCATCCGGCTGTCGCTAGTAGGACTGAATTTACATAAAATATCTTTGCTGGATCGGATCTGCTATAAATGCAAATGCAATTAAAATATATGGTGCTGCATGTTAACCATTAATCTTCTGCTTCAGGTGTTCCTAAAATTTCATAGCATTGCCTTGCTTTCCGATTTCAAAACTGTATAGAAATGTTAATTTTCTGATAGAATTCCAATGTTACCATTCAAGGAATGTTCCTTATTGCTGTTGTTCCCCAAATCGGTGTTTCTTGGTGTCTTGGAACATAAAAACAGATGGTGATGACGCTGGAGGTGATCCGCCCGTTGAGGATGCGGCCAGAAGCAGTGGCTGGCGCTGAGATGAGTCTGGGCTTGGAGCAGTGCTGAGAGGGCTTGGGGAGAGGATTGTAGTGGAGCTCCATCCCCATTCCACTCCTAGCAGCTCTCTGGCCATCCACCTCCGTTTCTGCCAGCTGGAACGGACAAGAACCTTGCCAACTACCCCAGGCTTCCACTGAGCTCGTTTAGGGAGAGGCAGGTGTGGCTGAGCTAGGGAACAATCTGGAGCGGAGCTGAGAGAACTATGATGCCAGCGCAGCTCCTGTAGTTTCCTGCTCTAGCCACCCTCTTCAAACTAAATCCCTTCTCTGCTTCCTCCTGTTCCTGCCCACATGTCCTCTATAAATCAGGGCATATTTTGAGAGGGTCAGAGCAGAGGAAGTGGAAGGGGAGAGGATTTGAAGCTCTTTGTGGGAAGAATGTGGAGAATTTTTTTTAACAATGGCTAAGTTAAATATACATGTAAATGTTGTAGTTAAGTACTCAAAACAAGAAAATAGTCCAACATTCATGGAATTGTGTGGTAATGGATTTGAATTTGTACTGTATTCTGAAAAGCTTTGATAGAGTGAAACTAGTTTGTAATGTGCTTATCTGAATTCTAGTAAAATTGCCTGTAATACCAATTCTAGATGCTTGTTTTTATCATTGTAGTCCCTTTAAAAATATTTCTTTCCACTAGCACCCGTACTAGAATTTGACTATCTTATCTGTGGAGACTGTGGCAAAGAATTCATGGACTCCTACCTTATGCAGCACTTTGATTGGGCAACATGTGATAATTGCAGGTATTACAAATAATCAGGAGAGAGAAACACTATTTTACATAAAGATTGCTGGCTAGAGTTCAATGGGTTACAGTCGTTTAAAGAGACTGCCAGCAGAGAGACATATTTCAGTAACTTTAAAAAAATGTAAATGAAAGTTGACTGATAACCCTGTGCAAGTTTCATTATGGAATTGAATCACAGATTGTCTCATAAGCCTGCCTTAGGATAGGGGACATCAGTGGATTTTCATACAACATTATGGAAATAGGATGTCATGGGAGCAGTTGGTGTGTTTGTCAGTGTGAAAATTTATGTCTGGCTGCAGACTAGAGCCATTTGAAAACGTGATGCAACACAAATATATGCTCTGAAGTGGAGCAGGGGTTAGGAGAGTGTTTGTGGTCCCGGTGTTTTAACTCAAGTGAAGTTGGTACTTTGGTCAGCATGGGCATGCTGGAAGCACAGCAGCCAAAGGGCAGAGCCCCCATGGGAGGTTACTGGTTGGCCTGCAAGGTAAGCAGGAGTTTGACCTTGAGAGCAGAGCAAGCTCTTATCTTTTAGTGCAGAAAACGCTCCAAAAGCCATCAAGATAACGAGGGCAGTGAAACCAACTGCAGCAGCCAGCTGCCCATGTGTGTAAGAATGAATTGGATGAATGAAAAAAAACCCAGGAGTTTGTTCTGGAAGCCTACCCATTTACTGCAGGGAGTGGTTAGGGGTGTGCACGTGGTGTAGGCAATTTGCAGTAATGTTGGAAACGAAGTTCTGTTTCAGAAGTTAAAGTGGGTAGGAAAAGGATGTTAGGGACAGGACTTTAGGCCTGTGGAGTCTTAGGGTCTAAGCTGTTGTAGCTGATGGCTGGAGTGTCCTTGGTGCACTAGCTGTAACTGTGAACTTTGAATTCTAGTAAAGCTACATTTACAGCAGTACTTCCTTGATGGCCGTTGTTAGCACTTAGTGTTTGGCAGATAGTTTGGCTCAAGTGATTCAAGCTGTACTTCAGTCAGGATTGCGTAAACTTAATTTTTTCCATTAACTCATGAATGCTGCTGTGGTTACAGAGTTTTTCATTATCTGGTAAAGGCTGCAGAGCCTTTATTTTATGTTTTCTCTGCCTACTATCGTGTATTATAGAAAGAAGTGGTCTGTGTTGCTAATCAGTTTCTGAGATCTAGAAGCATATGGAGTATGTATATTCTCAGGTGATAGGACCTGCCTCACATTATACATTCTTTCTGTCGACCTTGTGAGGCTCATACTTCTGTCCTCTTGGATTGCATCGGAGTTAGGTGAATACCTGAAATTATTCATATTAATTTTAAGTTTCAGGTTTTTCCTCTTGTAAGAAAATAAAAGAAGATCCTTTATAGAAAAGCAGGCTTCTCAGTCTGTGTTTGCTGAAATGGGGGAATTTTTAAACAGTTTATTTCAGTAAATCTAGTCTGGGGTTTAGCTAGGCTGTTGGAATCCAAATTTATTTGCATGCATGAAAAACTGAGGGTATTAGGGCTACCTGTATTTCAGGAATGTAAGAAGGGATGGGGATTTAGATGTTAATAACCTGTGGTTTTAGGGTGTAGCTTTCTCATCATTATTTTACATCTTGCAGAGATGTTGAAGATAAACATAAGCTTATTACAAGGACAGAAGCAAAAGAAGAGTATTTGCTTAAAGACTGTGACTTAGACAAGCGGGAACCAGTGCTCAGATTCATTGTGAAGAAAAATCCTCATAATTCACGATGGGGTGAAATGAAACTTTATTTAAAAGTACAGGTATAGAAACTTACTGTGTTTCAGACCTTTTTTTACCTTCGTACAGCTTTGGTTGTCACTTGGTACCTGAATGGTTTTGTCAAAGCTAAGTGTATTATGTGTAGCTTGTTATAGCTAAATGGTTGCAGTCTGAGTTGTAAAAATGTCTGGTTTTGAGAGCATTTTAAAGATGTTCATTGAGCAGAACTTCAGTGGGTTGCACAATTACAAGTCACAAAGCACATGGCCCTTCAGTTTTATGCTGAAGTGCATGGGGCAGCTGCAGTTGTGTGTGGCCCTTTGTAGCTGTGTTCACAGCTTTGCCTGCAGAGGCAGCAGGAGAGGCAAGTGGATTTTCCAGGGCTCTTGTCATTTCTTGTTTGGTACTTCATGGGAATCGTACTGCTTTAGTAAAATACGGGCAAAATTAGAGCTGGGTTTAAGTTTTCCTAAGTTACATCCAACTGATACTAATAACCAATGTTGCCTCTTCTTGTGGAAAGACTGCAGTCTTCTGAGTCAAAAGCAGAGACAGGTGGGAGATTGTGGAAGATTGGTTAGTTTATGTGCGTGTGTAGAGAAAAATTAAATTTGTAAGTTAGAATAGTTCACTTTTATCATTTTGGGCAGGGGGGGAAAAGGCATTTATGTCCATCCTGTAGGTAATCAAGCGTTCACTTGAAGTCTGGGGTAGCGAAGAAGCATTGCAAGAAGCAAAGGAGCTCCGCCGTGATAGCAGAGAGAAGATGAAACAGAAGAAGTTTGACAAGAAGGTTAAAGGTAATTCATTAAAATTACATACTGAAGGGAAGTTTAAACCTCTGTCTGCATCTGGATAAATTACTGAGAAAATATTCAATGTGGTAAAATGGAGGTTCTATAGACTGAGGGTGACCCTTGAGCAGTCTAGTGTGACGTCATAGCTGACTATTTTGGACAGTGTTGGACTGCAGGACTTGAGGTCCCTTCCAGCTTGAATTCCCCTGTTGTCCTGTGGACATGATGCAACAGAAATGAATTACAATGGTTCATTATAGTGTTTCTCACATTTTTGGGTATATATGGCACCCAGGATGTGCCATGGGTTGCTTCTGATACTTTTGACTTGCGGAAGACAGGGATTTTTATGGCAGCTTGTTATTACAGTTCTGTGATAGCCTTCAGGTAGAATGACTAATGAAAATAGGTCTTCCTGTTCACAGGATTCCTATGGGCTGTCTTTACTGCAAATTGCTCTACAGGTTTTTTCTCTGATAAATTAGTACTTAGAGGAGTATTTGATGGGTGGAATCTTTTGTACCACGTATAGCATCCATGCTTTGTTTGGGGTTGGTGTTTACAAGGGCAGAAAGCTCAAGCTGGCTGTTCTAGGGTTGTCTGAAGGCGGTAGAACTTGGGACTGCACAAATAACCCGTCTGGGCCATTGATTTTGTGCGCACAGAAGGACTGGCAGCAGACTGTAGCCAAGATGCCAGAGTTCAGTGCAAGTACAGACCTTAACGTGACAAAGTTTGCAGCCTCTGAATGGTTTGGATCAAAATGTGACCACATTTTGCTGTTCAGTATTCTTGCCACCCGCTTGCAACATCCGGATAATATCTTGAGCCCTGCTGCCAGCTTGTGCGCTCTAGAGAACCCACAGATTTCACTGCGGATGCTGCAGAGGCAACTCATTATTGGGCATAAAGCTTAGAGAATGCCAAGTCATTTGGGAGGCTTACTGTGACCTGAATGAAAGTGACTCTTTCTTGGCCATGTAAAATAGATGAGGTGTTAAAAAAAAAACATTTTCTTTATGTTCCACCGATCCTTTTTGGATACCTTTGAATGGCTTTGTGTGAAAAGGCAGCAAGCAGCACATCCTTAGTCCAGATGGAGAATCTTTGCCTATGAAATCCCATGACAGTGTAGTTCTTGGCCTTTAAAATATGCAAACAAGGTGAGAATTGCAGGGCAAGTCAGAGCTTGTTCTTGCAAGAGCAGATTCTTTCCCAGACCTGGTGGAAGACAGGCAGCAAGCGTATTGTCAGGCCTCAAGAAGCTGGTTAGCTTGAGTTCTATTGAACACTATTTAAGATTTATTGAAATCTTAAAATTTTCTTGTATTTTTTACCAGAACTCCGCCGTGCTGTGAGAAGTAGTTTGTGGAAGAAAGAAGCCAGTATCCATGAACATGAATATGGACCAGAAGAAAATATTGTTGAAGATACATATAAAAAGACATGCACTGTTTGTGGCCATGAATTAACTTATGAGAAGATGTAGTATTAACCTATTTTTTAATTTGACTTTGTTTTTAATGGTATTTTGTATTAAAGTCAAATAAATGCTTATTATGAACAAGGTGTTGCCAAATACTGTGTAGCATTATATTTTTCAATTGCGAGAAGCTCTGTGAAGAACAGTAGGCTTTAGCCTTTAAGCTAGATCTGAGGGTAGAATATAGCAACAGTTCAACAATTGGTATCTTCTTGGTCAAAAGTTGTTTGTATCATTGTACATGATGCACTGATAAAATCAAGGTGAACTTTACATGGCTTTTCTACATCCATCAGGAGGAAGGCTCATTATTTTCTCCTAACTCTTTGTCGTCTGGTTTTCAGTTACTGGTTATGGGCGGGCAGAGGGCTGATAGAGCATCACTTGTGGTGGTGGAAGGCCGTCTAATGAGGCAGGTTCTCCTTGGCCTCAGATACACAACTCCATAAAGGAGAATTCTCTTTTAAAAGGAAAGCTGCCTGCTTCCTTGGGAGGTTCTGATAGAGATTACTGTATTTTACAGGATAGATCCTTAGGTGTATTCTCTACATATTTTTTTTTTCTTTTTCTTTTTTTTTTTTTTTTTTTTTTCTTTTTGGAGCAGAGACCAAGGCAAGGGTCAAGACCTGTCCTTGGGGCAAGAGTAAAGTAGTGTTCCATAGCAGAGCTCTTTCAAATGCACTTGAATGATATTTGCTTTCAGTAGAGTGAATTTTTTAAAAGTTTTAAATTTTAAATTCACATTCTTGCAGCTGTTGGGGAATGCATGTGGTGATTACTGAAGTGAAGGAATATGTTCTGAAGTAAAGGATCATGTGTGGCTCTACATTTATTGACCACTGTAAATATGGCAGATTCCAAGGAGGTCTCTGGAGACTTCCTTTGTGAGCCTTGGACACTATAGCTGTGCAGAACTGAAATTTCAGGAAAACTGACATATTTGCCAGTATGGAAATGTGGTGTGATGTCTCCCATGGCTGGAGTACTGCAATGATGGTTATAAACTCTTCAGGACAGGCAGACAAGCAGAGGCAGTGAGGTGACTCTGTACATTAGGGAGAGTCTTGACTGTACAGAGCTCAAGGGCCGTGATGATAAGATTGGATGTCCGTGGGTTGGGATCAGGGAAAGGCCAATGAAGCAGACATCCCAGGGGGAGTCTGTTACAGACCACCCAGACAGGATAAAGGGGCAAATGAAATGTTCTGTAAGAAGCTGGCTGGTGTTTCACAACTACTACTCCTTGTTCTTGTGGGAGATTTTAATTTGTGGGTTGTCTGCTGAAAACATCAGCAGGGAGAGGCAGCTGTCTAGGAGGTTCCTGGAGTGTTCGGGAGGCAAAGGACAGCTGGCAAGTGAGCTGTCTTGGCTCTGGCCAGGACAGTATTTGTTGCAGTAGCCAGGAGGGGTGTAACCCAGACCTGGAAGTTATCCTGTAGTGCCTCACACCATACACAGGGGTGGGTGGGCAGAAGGGGGTCCTTTCCAGTCAGGGTAACATTGGGTTTCATGGGGTGGGCATTTGCATGTGAATTGATCATCTTTCCTGTGCAATATTAATATCAATATTGATACTGTTTGTTTCTTACCTCTCTGCTGTTTCTAGTAAATTGTTCTTATCTCAATCCTTGATTTGTACCTTTTGTGCCTCTAATTCTCATCTACTTCCTACTGGGAGGAGCTGAGCAAGTTGTGCATGGTTTAGAGTGTTTCAGTAGAAATGCTAAATTGGGGAACACCATTCCTAAACTACAGCATGAGCATATCAGGGGCAGTAGCCTTGTAGTTCTGCTGTTTATGAACAGAGAAGGGCTGGTGGAACATGTGGTTGGAGGCCATCTTGGGCACAGTGACCATGAAATTACAGTTTTCAACCCTTCGTAAGTAAGGAACAAGGTCAACAAAACCTCTGCCTCAGCTTTCTGGAGGGTGGGCCTTGGCCTATTCAGAACACTGGTTCAGAGAGTCCCTTGGAAAACAAAGTCCTTAACAACAAAGGGGTCCCATGAGGACTGGCCATGCTTTAAAGAGGAAATCTTGAAAGGCAGAGGAGCAGACTGTCCCTGTCTGCTGGATTATGAGCCATCATGAAGGAAGACCAGCCTGGTCTTCCTGTTCCTCCTGGCTGAACAGGATACTCCTGCTGTAACTCGGGGAAAAGAAGTTATGACCCTTGGAAGAAGGGGTGGACAACTCAAGAAGGGTACAAGGATGATGGTAGGTCATGTAGTGAGAAAATTAGAAAGGTGAAAGCTCGGCTGGAACTGGCCACCACTGTGAAATAGAAAAGTGTTTTTATAACTACTTTAAGAAAAGGAGGGTCTAGGAGAATCTCCATTGGTTATTGGAGGGTTGGGTATGGGAGGACATTGTAACTAAGGACAAGGAAAAGGTTGAGGTACTTGGGTTCTGAGTTAGACCCAAGTCCATGGGCCCAGATTGGATTCACCCAAGGGCACTGAGGGAGCTGGCAGGAGAGCACCCTAAGCTGCTCTGCATTGTTTGCATCAATCCTGGATAAGCAGGGAGGTCTGGGCTGACTGGGTTAGCCAGTGTGATGCCCATCTAGCAGCGATGGAAGGAGGATCCAGGGAACTACAGGCCTGTCAGCCTCTGTAGTGGGATGGAATAGATCATCTTGAGTGTGATCACACAGCATATGCAGGAAAACCAGGGGATTCGGCCCAGCCAACACATTTTTGGGAAAGGCAGGTCTTGCCTGACCAGCCTGATGTCCTTCTATGACCAGGTGATTGCCCCAGAGGGTGAGGGAAAGACTGTGGATGTTGTCTATGGATGGTGCCATAGGCTGAGCAAAGCCTATGGCACCATCTCCACAGCACACTTCTGGAAAAGCTGGCAGCCCACAGCTTGCTTTGCTGGGTTAGAAACCAGCTGTACAGTCAGGCCCAGAGAGTGGAGGTGAATGGTGTCACATCCAGCTGGGGGCTGGTCACTAGTGGTGTTCCTCAGGAATTAGTATTTGGCCCAATCCTGTTTAAAATCTTTACTGGTGATCTGTATGAGATTGACTGTGCTCTCAGCATAATTCACTGATAACAGCAAACTGTGGGAATGTTGGCCTGCTGGAGGGCAGGAAGGCTCTGCAGAGGGATCTGGACAGGCTGGATCAATGGGCCAAGGGCAAAGGTGTGAGGTTCACTAAGGCCAAGTGTCGGGTCCTGCCCTTGGGTCACAACAACCCTGTGCAGGCTGGGGCAGGGTGGCTGGAAAGAGGCCCAGTGGAAAAGAGCCTAGGGGTGCTGGCCAGCATTCAGCTGGGAGTGTGCCCAGGTGTCCAAGAAGGTCAATGGCATCCTGGCCTGTATCAGCACTAGTGTGACCAGCCTGGCACTGGTGATGCCACACCTTGAGATTTGTGTCTTGTTCAGGGCCCCAGTTCAGGAAGAACATTGAGGTGCTGGAGTGTGCCCAGAGATGATTGGTAGAGCTGGTGAAGAGCGCAGGACTAGCTGAGGGAACAGGGCTTGTTCAGCCTGGAGAAAAGGAGTTTCAGGGGAGACTTTACCCTCTCTGCTAATCTCTGACAGGGGGCTGTAGCCAGGTGGGGGTCAGGCTCTCCGCACAGGCAACCAGTGACAGGACAAGAGGATATATGGCCTCAAGTTGCACCGGGGAGGTTTAGGTCAAACATCAGGAACATTTCTTTACAGAAGGGATGACTGGATATTGGAATAGGCTTCTTAGGGAGGTGGTGGAGTCACCATGCCTGGAAGTGTTCAAGGAAAGACTGGACACTGCCATGCCACAGTCTAGCTGACATGGTGATGTTCAGTCATAGGTTTACTCTGTGGTTTTGTCAGAGGAGACAAGGTGCCTGGGAAGGGTGCATGATGCTTCCAATAATATAGGTTGTCACTTTTTCCATGTTCTCCTCTGCAGCTATGCAGTAACCTGCCTGCTCACCAAGCAGAGGATTTAAGCCGTTGCAAGACCTAGGAACGTGGCATGGGGACTTGGCTAGAGGAGGGAGGGAGGTCCCAGCAGGGCTTTTGGAGGTACTCCTCTTTGTCATGGTTTCACAGCTCAGTGTTGTCTTGGGTTCTTAAACTCCTCTCCAGGGCAGATGGGGATGGGTGGTCACTGACTACTGCCCTTCTGTGGGCATGCTGCAGCCTCCACCCCCCCGCACAGCAAGCACTCCTGACCTCCTGCAGCAGCACTTCCCTTTCCCAGAGGACAAGAGGTGGCAATGGAGAGGGAGAATTTCTACATCAGCAGCTCCTTGCACCTAGCAGCACATATGCTTGCCGCTCATGGCTGCAGGTTGGGGAGCGTGTTAGACAAGCTGTAGTGCAAGGAGGTGAAGGCTTGTGTGTTAATTCAGGGTACCAGCACTGGGAAACCAAACTGCCAGGGTAGCAGTGCTGGGAAACAAAACTGCTTCACACCCCTCTGCATTTAACACAAGCATAACCCAGCATGACTACTTTGCTTCAGTGTCTCCCAAACAGATTGGACACACACTCTCAGCAGCAACCTGCTTCACTTTAATTTATTGTTGTCTTTATCTGTGCATTTTTTTCCAACCACACCACATTTCTACAGCATCTTTACACTATCCACCACTTCATATTTCAGCAGTTCCAAGTTTCTCCAGTTAGCTGCTGGTATCATTACATAAGCATTTCACTCTTTAGTACAGATCCAGCCAATTTCCCAGTCAAGTCAGGTGTACACCATTAGACCTAAAAGAAGGTGAAGGTGTTCAACAGACTCAAGAAATGCAATCAAATCCCATGCTCAAAGCTTGGCATGATTGGAAGTTAAATCAATTTTGAGACATTGCTATTTGGTTTTAAAACACAGAATTACACTCAAGCATTTGCAACTGTATCCCCAGCATTAGTATTTGTCAAGGCTCAAAGAAAGTTACAAGTTTGCAAGTTCTAACTGCATTACCAGCTTTACAGAAGTCACATTTATAGTCAGAACCCTCACCATTAGTTAATATCAGAACTTATACTGACCCAAGCCAGTGAAAAAACTATTGAACTCCAATTAAAACCTTTAAAGTATTAAATGTTTCCTAAAAAAAAAAAAAAAAAAAAAAAATACAAGAAATCCTAATTTATTACTCAAGAACATTAACATAGAAAGATCTGAAGCCTAAGTCCGTGCATGACTGACAAAATCCTTGCATAAAGCAAATTTACAACAAATAACAATACACCCTGAAAGAATAGCGGAGGGCGGAAATCAGTCAAGTCAGAAAGGGCAAGCAGAAAAAGTAGAAGTAACAGATCTAAGTCTATGAGGCTATATAGGGTTGCTACAGGCCACACACAAAAATCAGATGAACAGTCAAAGCAAAATGTTCAATTTTTTACCCTCCTTGCTTAGTCAGGAGGTCAATATACAGATGAAATGCATTTCTAGGTATAATACCTAAAAAAAAAAATTGTACAGGAACAAAATTACTCAAAGCACGTAATTTCATAAGCTAAAACTCAACAGCACTAGGTATGAAATTCTTCAAAACATTCACCTGCAAAATGCAGAGACCATGAACAGCTTGGAAGCTCCATGCACACTGACGGACCTGAGCACCTAAGGCAGCATCTCTGCTGTTCACTGCTGCTCACTGTGGTACAGAACACACTGGTTTGGCCCTTATGTACCTTATGTTACTGGCCTAACTCAAAGCTTAGCCCACTCTACTTTCAGTTGTGTTCTCAGTCTAAGCCTCCTGTAATGTATCACTTAATTCCGCATTAAAACACTTCCTGAAGACATGGGAGCAATGTGCTGCCTTCACATTTTAAAGCGAAGGAAGCGCAGCGGATGCAACAGTTGTTGCCAAGCCAGATGAGGCAAGAGCACTTGGTTCATCCACTGTCACTAAGGAAAGATTTCTGACATCCTGCAGGTCCAGCCCAGCGCAAATGTGACAGTCCAGTGAGTTACGGGCTAGAGCTCCCAACACCCAGGTAAGGCTTGCAGAACTTTGTTCCACTCCAACTCTTGCTTACTGTCTCTATCAGTGAAGACTGCTACCAAGAGCAGTTCATGATTTCTTGACCACAATGCAAAAAGAATTGCATTCTTCAGAAGTGGTCCATGAAGTTTGTCTACTGTTTATAGATATTGTAATAAGACACTAGACAATACATTTAAAAAACATATTTAAATTGTATTTTATGTTCTTTTAAATTGTGAAAATCTATCTGGCTTGATAACAAAACAAATTTGTATGTTCTATACTATTTTGAAAACGTGTTTCACATGTCCAAAGTTAAGACACTTTTCCTATGTCATATACTAGAGAACTTATCCCACTGCTCACTGAGAAGGTGCTTCCCCTTTCATACTCACAAAACACTAAGAATGGATCCTCATTTCTGCAATTAATTTGATTTAAGGGACAAGCAGAAGTAAAAAATTCAATTGCTTGGGGTTGGCTTTTTTTGTTGTGAGGTTAGGAAAATTTTGGGGGGGAGGAGTGTGCCTGATTTTTATACAGGCAAGAGGGGAGAAATAAAATTACTATAATGAAGAGAAGAGTCAAACTAAATTAAAAGACAACAAAAAGAATTAATAGTTTACTTCACAAATATCCCCTATTAGTCATATCTTTTAAGGCTTACAATGCTTACACAGTTTGGTTTTTTTAGAACACTCTATTGTTTTATATAGGAGCACATGAAAGCCAGTTTTAGTAAAAAAAAATCTTCCATCCCCATTTTAAGTTTTGCCATTAAAAAAAAAAATTAAATTTCACTAAAGTCCTGCAGGTAAGACTCTGTCCACAGATGATCCCTCAAGCCTGCAGAGCACAAAACTGCTGAAACACAGCCAGAATGTGGTGGTCCAGTTCAGCTGTAAACAGGAGGTTCTCCAGTGTCACCATGTACTGCTGGATTATCTGGTGGTGCTGGCAGATAAAAAACAAAAACAAAACACTTATGCTTACAGTTTTCACATTTATATCGGAATAGGCAAAGAAGTCAAGATACGTAAGAACCACAAATGCTCTTATCTGACTTGTTTAGCACATCTCATTTCCACAATGTAGCAGCCATGGATAAGAAAAACATAGTATAGAGGCACTGCTGACTGCAAGAAGGAAGTCAGCGCTGAAATCCTGCCTTGTGCTTTCTGTAACTCTTCACCCACAGATCCTGAGTTGTGTGCAGGACACAATGCTACTTGCAGGTATCTTAGGAGAATCCTGGTATTTCCTTTCGTCTGAAAACACATCTGCTACTAGGGAAGGATTCCTCCCAAGGGAGAATGACACCACTACTCCCATTCTTCAACACCTCTTGTGCTCACAGAGGTATAACCTCTGGTAACTAATCAGTTTCATCCAGCCACCTGTGCTTATGAACTGATTTAATACAGAGCCAAATATTCAAAAATCATGTTTATTAGATAATTATGCACCTCACTAAGAGGGATCCTGCAATATTTTAATTCTCCTATTTAAAACATGTCTATTTTAGCATTCTTGTTTGCTCACAACTTTGCCCTTACTAAAAACACATAGTTAAGTGGAAGTCAGTGAAATTCATAAAGGCATCTTGAAATATTTTTGCAGTATGCTTACAGTGAGGAAATTCTCCACTCAGGATCACTCACTCCACCAGACTGTGGCAGAGATTTGGCCAGAGCCAGAGAGTTGTGACCTGGCCCCACACCAGCCTCTGGGGAAAATGTGCTGCTGCCACCTACTGCTACTCTCGTGGAGCCTCGGCACTCAGCTTTCCCAATTAAGCATGGCCCCGCCAACACCCTTCCAAACTGAGAAATGAAACTTACCTGCAGGAAGATCTGCTGCAACCTCTCTATACAGCTCTTGTACCAGGGTGTAAATACATCAATTCCACCAGTCTCGCAGCGCACTAAGTGCTCCGTTAACAACATAATGAAACGCTGCAGTAGAGGAGAAAAAAACTCAACTCATTCAGTCTCATCAAATTAAAGAAGAATCCTAACCTAAGGTGAGAAGATCTGAGTGTCAGAAGTTTTGAACAGCACTGTAAGAATAATTATTTTGCTTGGCAAATACTGAATTTTGTATGAAAACAACCGTTTACCTTCTGGTTGTTCAGGAAATTGTGTGCTAGCAGAACTCCTCTCCTTCTAAGCACTTGAAACTCATCAGATCCTACTCCAAACCAGTCTTTACAGAGGGATGATCTGGATTGACTCTAACCAATGATAAAATCATCAACCCCATCCCATATTCTTAATCCAAGAAAATGCCCAAGATAGTGATGCTGAAGGCTTGTAAATCAAGTAACTTCAAAACCTAAACAGAGAAGAGATTTTGACCATCATTACCTGGAATATAACAAGAAAGAGATTCTTCTGCTCACTCTGGGCTGACTCTACTTTTTCCTGCAAGCGCTCTATCTGCTCTTCCAGCGGTCCATCTTCCCGATCAGTGCTTCGGTCATCATCGTCATCATCATCATCACTGTCTCGCTGTAAATGACAACAACACAGGACTTAACCAGTAATTTGGCAGGTGTGGATGTCATTTAATACCCTCCAATTGCACATGTGAAAAGTTTTCTGCAGGACAGTTAAGAACAGCACACAATTCTGGATAAAAATTTGGTAGAAAAAATGCTAATGTGGGAAAGGCCTGAAAAAAACATTATTACTAAAATTTCAGAGAAACCAGAGCAAGCATAGAGGTTCATGAGATTTAAGGCGTTTTCCTCCAGGAAGGTGCTGTGGCTGACAGCCCAGATGAGGTGCCCCTACACCAGGGGCATGCAGCATGGGCAGCAAAGAGGAGGCGTTGGAAGCCACTGTGCTGCTGGATAGTTATGACCTTGTTTTCACTCCTGAAACTCAGTGGGATGGATCCTATGACTGGAGTGTGATTAACAACGGCCCAGGCTGTTCAGCAGGGACATGGGGATAAAGAGACACAGAGGGATTGCCCTCAACATCAAGAGCTGGATTGAGTGTGAAGAGTCTCTGAAGAACAGCCACGAGTAAGTGTAAAGTTGGTGGGTGACAGTCCCAGCTGAGGCAGCAAAGGGAGCCTTTGGTCGGTGTCTGTGACCGGCTCCTGACCAAGCAGAGACTGCTGATGGAGCCTTCTTGCTCCAGCTGCAGAAGGCACCCTGCTCACAGGCTCTGGTGCTGCTGGGGGACTTCAACAACCCCTGCATATACTGGAAAAGTAGCTGTAGGCAATCCTTGAGATTCCTGGAGTGCATGGAGCATACATTCCTCACCCAGGAAACAGATAGCCCTACAATAGGGGAGGTGTTACTGGATCTGTTGGTCACCAACAAAGGGGGCTAATGGGGAACATCAAGCTAGGAGGCAGTGATCATGCCTTGGTGGAATTCACAGTCCTGAGGGATATGGGTTGGGAAAGGAGTCCAGAGAAGCCCCTGAACTTTAGGAAAGCAGACTTTCAGCTTTCCAGGACCTACTCAATGAGACTGCCTGGGAGACTGCCCTCAGGGACAAAGGAGAGGAACAGAGCTGGCAGATCTCTGCAAGAGAGCAAGAGCTTGCAATTCCCAGGAGCAAGGAATCAGACAAGAAAGGCAGGAGACTGACATGGCTCAGCAGGGCACTGATGGTCAAACTAAAGCAAAAGAAGCAAATGCAGAAGCAGCACCAACAAGGACATGTAACCTGGGAAGAGCATACCTGGTGGGGTGGGGAAGGCCAAGGCAAAGCTGGAACTGAACCTGACAAGGGACACAAAGAATAACAGGAAGGTATGCAAGCCAGAAAAGGGAAGTCAAAGAATGTGTGTCCCCTGATAGACAATGCTGGTACACTGAGAAGAAGGCTGAGGAACTCAAGCTTCTTCAGAAGAACTTCTTTTGCTGCCGTCTTCAATAATAACCCCTCTTCCCACATCTCTTGAGTGGACGAACAGCAGGATGGGGACTGGGGGAGCAAAGTCTCTTCCACACTAGGTAAAAATCAAGTTCATGGCCACCTGAAGAACCTAAAAGTCTACAGGTAGAGTCAATGAGATGCATCCTAGAGTCCTGAGGCAACCAGCTGATGTAGTTGCCAAACCAAACTGAAAAGTTGCGGCTGGAAAAGGGAAAACACTGTACCTATCTTCTAAAATGGTAGAAAGGAGGACTCCTGTAGCAACTGATCTGTGAGTGTCACCTCTGTGCCTGGAAAGATCACAAAACAGATCCTGCTGGAAGCTGTGCTAAGGCACATTGGGGACCGGAGATTATTTGGAACAGCCAGCATGGCCTTACCAAGGGCAAGTCCTGCCTGACTGACCTGCAGGCCTTCTATGATGGAGTGACTCCACTAGTGGACAAGGGAAGGGCAGCAGATGTCATTTTTCGGGACTTTGACATGGTCCTCCACAACATCCTTCTCTCTAAATTAAGAGAGAGATGGATTCAATGGGTGAACTGTTACATGGATAAGAAATTGGTGACATCCAGAGGGTAGTGATCAACAGCTCAGAGTTTCAATGGACATCAGTAAGCAGTGGTATCCCTCAGAGATCTGTATTGGGACCAGTGTTATTTCATAGATGAAGTGCACCGTCATCAAATTTGCAGATGACACCAAGCCAAATGCCAAGGTTGACATTCCTGAAAGACGGGATGCCAACCAGAAGCACCTGTACAAGCTCAAGAAATGGGCCCTTGGAAATGTCATGAGGATCAACAAGACCAAGTTGAAGGTGCTGAACCTGGGTCAGGAAAACCCCCAGTATCAGCACAGGCTGGGCATGAACAGATCAAGAGCAGCCCTGTGAGCAGGACTGGGGGGTGCTGGTGGGTGGGAGGCTGGACATGACCCAGCCATGGGCACCCCCAGCCCAGAGAGCCAAACGTGTCCTGGGCTGCATCCAAAGCAGTGTGGGCAGCAGGGCAAGGCAGCAGACTCTGCCCCTCTGCTCTGCTCTGATGAGAGCCCATCTGGAACCCTGCACCCAGCTCTGGGGTCCCAGCACAGGAAGGTCATGGACCCGCTGGAGTGAGTCCAGAGGAGGGACACCAAGATGATCAGAGAGATGGAGCACCTCTCTTATGAGGGAAAGGCCAAGATAATTTGGTTTGTTCAGCTTGGAGCAGAGCAGGCTCTGAGGTGATCTAACTGCAGCTTTCCAGTATCTGAAGGCAGCCTCCAAGAAAGAGGGACTAATTACAAGAGCATGCAGTGGTAGAACAAGGATGAATGGCCTTAAACTGAAAGACAGTAGGTTTAGATAAGAAATAGGGAAGAAATTTTTTACTGTGAGAGTAGTGAGGCACTGGAACAGGTTGCCCAGAGAAGCTGAGGATGCCCCATCTCTGGACTGGTCAATGCCAGACTGGATGGAACTCTGAGCAAGCTGGTCTAGTGAAAGGTGTCCTTGCCCATGGCAAGAATTTAAAACTAAGTGATCACTGAGGTTGCTTCCAACCCAGGCCATTCTATGATTTCACGATTTATTTAAGGCAAACACAGTGAAAGGTAATACGCCTGCTAACTTTATCATTACATGGTAACGAACAACTTTATTTTTAAAAACAATCTGGCATAGATTTTTTTCAAATTGTATCTACTGCAGCAAGACAGGTAATTAATTAAATAACATTCTGAAATCTCAGTGCTTTAAAAAATAATGCACCTGGCACAAATTCTCTCCTGCACTTGGTGCAAGAACTTAAATGAATCCAGCTGGTTAGCACAACAGGAAGGCTGAAGACTGGAGCAAGTGTTTTGAAGTGTGAACTCCCTATATTCATGATCAAAAAGACTACTCTCAAGACTAGAAAGGGTCAGCACAGAAACTGATCTACTAACTAGGAACAGCATGCTTCACTGCATCAAAAACAACACAACACCACTGCTACCCACAAAATGCACCTAAGAACCAGCTCAGGTGACTAAGTCTTAAACAAGACTACAAGGCATATAGGAGGAAAGACAGGATCTGATGGATTATGGTAAATTCAAACACAAGACACTGCTTTAGTATCATATAGTTGTTTCTGTGCAAAGACATATATAAATTGCTAGCTCAAAATTTTAAATATCTATAAAAGAAGCATATGTAACTTGGGATAAATGTCTTAACTCACCTATAGCACAGGAAATGAAGTTCACAACCACAAGACAGGTATAGCTCTGAATCAGTATAAAAAATGAAAACTTACCAGAGTAACTGAGAATATAATTTTATTCTCTCTATAGGGGCTTGCCTTTTTCCCATCTATAGAGATTTTCTGAACTCAAAACGCTGAAGGACCAAGACAAAGCAAGCAAGCCTTGGACAGCCGTCATGCTGGGGAAATCAAAACTTGATGGCATACTTTCTCTAAAAGCAGTGGTCATGCAGCAGAGCAACAGCCTGCAGAACTACTCACTGTTGCAAACCAATGTTTCTTCCTGGCACAATACTCACTTAAAGTACTAAGTAATAAAGAGCTGAAGCAAGAGACAATGGCAGAAATTAAAACACTGGTATTTTTAAAGATGCCAGAGAAGCTCTTTGCCTCAAAGTAAGATCAATGACTGCACCTAAGTCTTCCATAATTACAAGCATTTATTAACTGCTCATCAATGTAGACTGAGGAGGCAAGCAGGATGGCTGCTGCTGTGAGTGGAGGAAACAAGATGAAGGGGTTGGGATGAACCAACACTGGCAAGCTGACAGTTATTATGATCTCTCAACAGAAGCTTCTGGACAAATGACTGACTTGACCTCTCATCAAAAAACATCAGCAAACTCTGTGTCACATTTTGACACTCAACTCACTCAAAATTTTGGAGCTAGTTAAGGGTTTTATGCAGGTAAACACACTTACAGACCTCAAAGAAACACAGAAATTCTCTCTTGGTTTCTGTAAATCAGCATATTTATAAACTGACTTAATTCTGTCATAACTAAGTACTGCATTCAGTCAAGCTTCCTCAGGCCCTATCTTTTCCAGCTGCCATAGAAGAACATTCACTCCATTTTACTGGCCCACTTGAGACAACAGAATGCAACAGCAGCTGCTTCCTCATCAATTTGCTGTACTTAATAATGCAAGATCATGCAACTGTATTCAGGAAAATAAGCTGGAAGAAAAGTGCCATGTCAGTGTCATAATCCAACAGCATCCATCAGAAAAACAGTAACAGCCAACTTCTTAATTGCAAATAGCTGTTTCTGTGCACTTCTGCATGGAAGCCACAAGAGCATTCTTTAACAGAACTTACTATGAATAATTTGTAACTGTTCTTACTATTCTCTAATAAGGTAACTGGAATCCAGATTAGAAGGCAAGCAGAAGACATGTTCATATTGGAAGAGAAACATGTGAGAGAGAACTTGAACAGATCAAGTACGTATGCACTCCCTTAGAAGATTTTACTAAATTCTTAAATTACAGCTAGGACCAAGAACATGCATCTGATTTCTGATGTCTCAGTGCTACAGCTGACCACATCTCTGCAGACATGCTTCCTGAAGAATCATATGTTTTCAGTCCTTCCAAAAACCAACTGTGTGTCTGTACATCAGGATGCAGGCTTCTATAACTTAGTTTAAAAGTTACCAACAAACGACTCACTCTTTTGTGCTGCCTGGCCAATCTTGCTTTGGTCTCCTCCAATTCTTTGTGAATCTTCAGGACATGCTTATTCATCTTACGGATTGTGGAATGTAAGATCTCCCAGATATAAAACCTAGGAAAGACACACAGCTCAAAACACCACATTACACACTACTTGCAAATAGGAAACTAAATGTAGTTTCTTAACAGAAAAATACTAGTGGGAGAATTAAAAAAGTCTATGTATCATTTAAGGGGACATCTACGAGAGTGAACAAACACTCAGCATACAGGTGAACATACTTGTAATGCAAGAAATCTTAACGATCAGTTCTTGCCTATTTGCTGCAGTACACTTTAGAGTCAGAATTTATTTCATGTACACACTGCAAGAGTATTAACATCAAACTCAACTCCTCAGATTGAACAGTTCTTCCAATCTCAATATCCAATGCATCAGTGGTGGTACAAGTTACGTACCAACCCCAAGGGCCAGGACCACGCCCAGCCAGCAGCATTACAGCACACAGCAACAGACTCTGTCTAGGAACAGCTCCACTTCAGCAGGCTTAGACACTACTAGCAAAATAACATGCTAGCAGCAACACTGCACTGTCATACCAACATTCATACCCCAACTCAGGAAGAAAAACATTTAAGCAAATATTTTGTAGAAAGGGCAAAAGCCTAATTGTACCTTATTCTACTACTGAGTTTTCAAAGATTGAACTATGTACTGGCAAGTTAAAGTAACAAATCAAAGACAAATAACCCAAACCAAGTTCTTGTTACCTGGTAAAGTCATGTGCTAGCTCTGAAGAAAAGATCCAGTTTGCTACTGCAGCACAGTCAACAATTTGTGTCCGAATCATCTTGTCCACAAGCACAGCAATCATCTGTATTTTGTGAAAGACAATACACACAAAATCTGTGTAAAATATTTCATCCTCAGATAAAACCGGAGATGATTCGATGCAACTCCACATCAGCGGTATTACTGACTAATTTTGAATACTTTAACAAACCGGGGAGTCTAGTTTAAAACATTACAAATGAGGGGATCTGTATCAATTACATAAAGCATTCTAACTTTGTTAACAACCACACCTACTTCTGAAAGTACCACTCCTTGTCAGCACATATACTCTCGTACAAAAGCAAAAAATACAAATATCCGAGTTGGAACTGAGGCCTTGAGAGACATGAGTGCTACTATTTGACATCAAAGTACTCCAACCAGAGCACATATACCTGTCAGATCACCATTATGAAGGAGCTGCTGTTAGTCTACTCTCCTTGAACTGCAACAGCCCTCAAACATGACAGTAGGCTTTTCTCTACAGGGCCCATTAACTTCAGGACAGAATGAACGAGCATCGTGGAGTCAACGGAAAGGCTTACTTGCTACAGGCACTGCCATGATTCTGAGGCAGGCAACTGTAGAGAAGAGTTACTGACTAAAGAAGATGCAAGCTGTTCAGAAAAAAGTTACTCATGTGAGTGAATGCCACAGTATCGAAGAACCACAGCCTGCACTGTATTTATCCTTACAACCACCTGATGTCATATGAGGAAGTATAACAAAGCTCCTTTTAAGGAACGAAAATTAAAATAACTGAATGAATCATACAGAGGACTCAGCATTCAACTTTCAAGTCCTAGGATAGTATCCTATGCTCTGTTTATCTTTCTGCATTGCCAGGAAGGATTTCTGATTATTTAGCTAGTCTTTCAAAAAACACACATCGAGGATCTTGAGAAAGTATTTAATACCAATGTTAAAGTTTCTCTTTTTGAAGTCATCACCAGCCTGCTTTACAGTCCAGAGACTGCTGACTCCTGCTATTAATCACTATCTGCAGCACAGACCACTCATTAGTGCTGTAAGCATATAAGATTGTTGGTCTGAAACAAATCAAAGGATGTTCCCATAGACATAGGAGCAGGGTGAACAGCCTGAAAACAGACTCTGGACAAGTGCCCTTCTATGTGACAAGGAGGTTGAGGACTTGGGAATAAGAAAAAAGCACTTGATCAGAAGCAAAAACCACTGAACTGCAGTAAAAGCAAGAGAAGAAAAGTTTCATGATTAAGTAAAACAGCAAACAGCAGACTTTCCTAAGTTTTGCACTTGAGATTTTTGAAAGGGATCTTGAGTTATTCTTAAAAAATTAACATGACAATTTACTCTGGGTGTGAAACCTCCATCTCACTTTGGTAATGCTGTGATATAAAGGAATGAAGAGGAAGGTGATACAGATATTACACTGCAGTAATGAAATTTCTTCTGATCCAGTTAAATAGCAGCAAAAAGTAGGTCAGACTGCAAAATGTCAGATTTTCAAGGTCAGTAAACTGGGTAGTAAGTTAAATATATGTTTTAAAAAATCCTCCTTTTATCATGTTTTTAAGAGTGGCAACAGCTTGCATAGGTATCTTCTAGGTGCTCATTTTTTCCACTAGAGACTGGACCACAGGCCTAGTAGCAGATGCAAAGATTACTCCTGGTTCTTAGTGGCATCACTTCATATAGTCTGGCCTGTGCAACTGAGAGGTACTTTCCAGCACAGAAATCCACTTTCCAGCAACACAGACAAACCAGCAAGGGATACATGAAGTAACTAATGCAGGCAAAGTCAACCTGAATTCCTCATTGATTTCTATGAATAGAAAAATGACAGCTACAGTAAAACACAATTGCTGTGAAGAAACCGAGCAGCTTAAACAACAGAGACATCTTTTATAGGTCTTTTAAGGTGTTATCTCCCCTGTCTCGAGAGTGAACATTATCACAGCACTGTCAGACTGATCTGCTCTGAACAGTGACTACTGCAGCTCTACTCACCCTGCCCACAAACAACAGTGACTCCAGCATAACTCCTGTGTAATAACTGGGCAGCTTCCACTAGCAATTGTTGAGAAGGAAAAAAAAACCCAAAACCTAAAATCCCTGGGCTTCTACACTTCTAGGTTGTGGCCTGTTTTAGATATGAGACCTACATCTTATTAAAATTTACATATTTATATTGCTTTCCAACTTTGAATAAAACCATGGTTTCAGCAAAAGTTATTCTCTTGTTCAACAACCAGCATTGTATGAATCTGAGTCTTAATGACAATCCTTGCCCTTTCACAGTGAACTCTTGAGAAAGAAGCAGCACCACTGATGGTACATATTTTGTGTTCAACCTTCATTTTAGTAGTAGCAACACTAAATACACCCTAAACTTTCCTTAGAATGACAATAGACAAGTTCTTTTTAAAGGATATAAAACAAACAGTACATTTTTTCATTCACAAATGACCTCTGTGATCTGAAACTCACAAAGATCCTTGACATTCCAGCTTCTTACCTGTGGATGATTCTTCCAAACCTCATACACAACTCTCAGAACATGAAGCTTCCCCTCATCACTTTCAGCAAGTGTTTTGAAGACTTCATGAAACCTTTTAATAGAAGTAAGTAGTCACTAGATAGGCTGGGACCAGGTCAAAAGAGCAGCACATGTAAGGCAAGCGGTTTAGATTGGCCAAAAGAAAATAATGTGACTATCTACAGCATTTCTTAGACAACTGTTCCCTGGAAAATATTACCATCCTGAGCCAAAATAGTCTACAAAGAAATAACATCTCCTAACAGCAACTTACATGCCAGTGGTGAACCTACTTCCTGAAACTAGGCTACATTTCTCAGGCTCTCAAAAGCAGGAGGCACTTTTCTGCTTCATGTGCTTATCTATACAAAGCTGAACCAAAATTTACTGCCTTTTTAGCCTTAGACCTTCCTCTTAACGTATTTCTCCAACTTAGGATAAGTGTCTGAAGTGCCTCTTTTCCAAGGAGAGGCTGCAAAAAGCATCTATTTTAGCAGTTACTCTGACTGCTACACTGCATTCATAGCCCAGCTTATTGTAATACAACTATAAAGCATAAGAGGCTCTTCTTGATCTCTTGGCTGCCACTGCTGTTGTGCAGCAGAGAAAATACCATGGTCTAAATATTTGAATCACCCTGCCTCTTTTACTCATGACTGCAGGTTACTACCTGCAGCTTCTTATCAACATTGCCTCTGTAGAGCTTCCAGGTGCATGATTTTGTAGTAGTTTTATCTATCTTAGGGACAGATAGAAAAACAACTCATAAAGATGCATGTGACTACCTTTCATATAACAAAACCACTTAAAATCAACTCCAAAACACAAAGGATTAAAAACATCATTCTAATTTTGCTAAAAATGGTGCAGTAAATTCTTTGCAGTTTCAGTGTATCTTTAAGGGATAAACTCCAATGTCTTTTAGGATGGATTTTACTCTGCTGTGGTAGACAGAAGAAATTAATAGCAGACTGTTTTGAAGTTTGACATTTTCTTTTTCTTTCCTTTTTTTAATACAAATGTAATTGTCCTAGATTCATATTCATAGTACAAGATACTGTGATGGCAGCTACCCATTCATTGAAATGTAGAGAGAATCCCTTTTTCTTTGCCATAATAAGCAAATAAGCAATACAAAAATGAAGTTAATTTTCCAAACCTGTCTCATTTACATCACATGACTACAATGTATACATTTCTGTTAATTCCATTCATAATGTATAATACATCCATATGTATAATCTAGGATTTACACTACCATTCCTTCAGTAAGTAATGTCATTAGCTCGTAGTCATATTGCTTTGTGGAGTACCAACACTGCTGAAGCCTGCTCTCCACTTCTTTTATCATGTATTTCACTGTCAGAATTAAACTGTTCTGTGAGCCCCAGAATAGTGCACTTATTATACTTACTTTGCCAGGGCGCTGAAGGAGTGGCTAAAAGACTTTGCAGCTAGATGGAGCAGAGTCTGAACAAAGACTTCTATTTTCAGAGGGTTGAAAGTAAATCCTTCACCTGAAAGTTATTTGAAGATGAAACTAATAAATACTTTAGTAAAGCATGTAAGCTACTCATGCAGCTGTAGAGGTAACTTATGGTTTTAGCTCATTTCACAAGAGTTCCATCAACAGAGTTCTGCAGGGTTGAGCAAGGAGCTAGTAAAGACTCCCACAAAATGTACTGTTACAGGCTCCAGTTTTGCCATGGAGAAGATGTGCAGCATGCTTCCTCACCAACATGGAATTCTATCAGAGACACAGCCACACCACCAATGTGTGACAGCACTGATGGCAGCACAGAAAGTCAGCAAAGGAAACTGCAGCTGTGCACCAAGATGAGGGCCTGGGAAGGCCATAAAGATAGGGGTGTGGGTGAGGAGGGGGGGAGGTAAGGATTATTAACATACAGAGGCCAACCACTTAGGATATAGGAGAAAGGTCCACCAGGCATGTAAAGCAAATATGGCTACTACGGTGAGTGGTGTCAGGTGCCATCCTACAGCTCTAGACAGGCAGAAGGAAGACCATTAATAAGTGGGTAATGCCCAAAGCAAGTCAAGAAACATGAAAGTGGACCCCAGGGAAAAAAAAATCTACCAGATCATGGTTTCTCTCTGCCTGTGTAGCTGAACCCTTGCAAATACTACAAAAACAATTAAGCATTTGCCTTTGTTTAGATAACTTCTAACTCTCTAACTCTCTCTCACACCACTCACTCCATAAAACACTCAGGCTTTAGGAATGAGTGGTGCCTGTGGCTGCAAAGCCAATGGGAATGTGAGCAGTCCCACCATGAGTTTTCATCTGTGGAACATGCCAGCCAGTAGGCTGGCTGTATAATGTGTTGTGGGACTGCCCTGAGGGGAGGGAAGCTCTTAGGGCAGAAGCACTAAATTTAAGAACTGCCCTCTGCAGCTGAAAGCAAAGGGGATGTTAAATTCTTTTACTCCGTCAATAATTGCAAGACAACACACAAGCACCAAGTCATCCCGTTTAGGAAAAACAGGCAGGCCTCTGCATGTAAGATGTTCACAAAAAAAATAGAAGTGGTGTATTTATTGCTAAATTGAAACCAACTGCTAGAAGGAAAAGCATACAGGTCTGTGAACCAACACATTCAGCTCCAAAGCACGGCAGATCAGTCACACACAGAATAAATGACAGCTTGGTAAAGTCTAACTGCTCGTATCTTACCATCATCATCATCCTGGTTTGGATTAGGTACATCTTTTAAAATGCTGAAGATTTCATCATTGCTGGCCTTATTTTTAATTGCAATTGTTAAACAGAGTGCCACAGTATATCCAGGAAGAGACCCTGAACAAAAACAAAAACAGGTCAAAAATATGGAAAGGCAAGTAAATGAGCACTTTTAACATGAGTCTGCCCCACAGAGAAACAAGTACCCTTTCCCAGTTACACCTAAAACTTGGCATTTCCAATATCACTGTCAACCTCAATATGCCATAAAATTGATCAAAACATTTTCTGCTCTTCATGTTATATTCAAAATTTGGAGTAGAACTTTTAGACCTGAGCTCAGGCAATCACATTTCTCACTAAATCTCTACTTCAGTTTCCACCAGGTTTCTAAAAATACAATACTTCCTTGTTTTTCTTCGTTGTATCTTTGAGGATGACACTTTTATGCTTAGGACTGTATTTACACTGAGCAATAAAAGGAGTAATAAGGTCCCTCTCTACCTCAGTCTTTATGGTACTTGTTCCTTCTATACGTTCATTAAATCAAGTTTACTGGTAAAATATTCCACTGCTTCATGAAGTTCAAAAAATAATTTCTCATTATCACTTCAGATGCTGATTTCCATAGTATTGTGCTCAAACAGGTGAAATAGATGAATTGTCCAATTTTAGGCTTCTGGCAAATAATACTGCACAACACCACAGCCACATCAGCAATAGTAGCTTGATGTATCTGGATTTTCTTTGCTTCATAAATAGCAGACAGGATTTTATTAGAGAGAACCAGGCTTAATACATATTAATTGCTCATGTGAAGCGTAGTTACCCATACAAAAATCGTGTATATTTATTTGATCTGTATTCTTTTTCATGAAGATGACTCATATTACAGTCAATATAGTGTACTCCCTTGCTCTGAAACACTACTTCTTCAACTTGACCGCTAGTAATTTTAATACTTACTATTGCTCTCATCTCCATATTTGTAAATGCACACTGGATTAGCAGGACTGAGGACAGAAAAACTTGCAGGAACAATGTCTATTATTCGCTGATGGTAGGAGAGTCTGGAAATAACAAGTTCCATAGCAGTAGAATTAAAAAGGGAATAACACCACAGCTAATGACTCCTTTATAATGCTTTTTCTTTATTTAATGTTCATAGAACAAGATTCAGGATGCCTATAGAAAAGAATGGTAGTTTCTGCTGAGTAGTAAGAGCTAATAAACTAAACTTAATATGTATGCTTTCTATTTTAGTGTATGCTTTCTATTTTAACTCTGTGAAGCTAGACTTCCATCTTTGTACAATTTGCCTTGTGAAAAAGCTGCCTACCAAGAAATTTTATGCAAAAACTTGCGACGTGCTGCAGAAAACTAGTAAGATGTCAGTACTCAAAGCAGGAAAAATATTAAACTAGACGTCTTCATTTTACTTTCCAGGTTAATTTCACTCCCACAAAGACTTCATTTGCTATCAGAGTTTTCAATGAAATGGAAGAGTGCCACAGAAAAAAATGCATTTGTTGTACAGCACAACACTTTGGATGTGGAATTCACCCAAACCTTGATTGTTTTCATGTAAGATGCTGAATAACATAGGCTTTTTCAACATTTTGCTCTTTCTCTCTCGTATACCACCCTAATCTCAACAATTTTAAACCCAGACTACTCATCAGAAATACTGACTATGTAGTCTTGTTAGGTTTGGAGATTTTGTTTCTTTAGACAGTTGTTCATTAATTTAAAGTAAATGAACATCTGAGGCACCTAGAAAAATCAAGAGTAGAGTCTCTATTTTTGGTACAATTAATGGCCAGTTCACTCTATTTCTGTGAAGGCTGAATAGTTTCCAAGAATGTAGCCTAAGTTATCTTTCTTCCCATGCCCATGATGAAATATGTCTTTACGTAACTATGGCATCCATGGATAGCTCACTACTGTCTGCATCACCTGTTTCTCCTTCTCTTTAGAGCAGTATCCTACAGCAGGCAAACCAGATTAAAAAGCATACAGACTAATCTTTTACCTGAAAATTAATTGTAAGAACAGATGTGCCCAAGACAACAGTCAAGTTAAAAGGACTCTGACAGCATTCATATGAAACTTTGCTTTGAATGCAACTATGGAAAGATCTTACTTACCTCATGCACTTTTCCAAAACTTCTCTCACAAATTTGGGTTTGGGTTTTTCAAGGTCCTGGGTAAGACAATCTGACCTATCAAAGGACAGAATACAATGGCTTTTAGCAAAAGCATTTAGACTTTTTAGTCTCTTTTTGGCTTGGTCTGATAGTACAAAACAATCAGAGTCTGAAGACAATGGGGGTGCTGGACCATTGGAGTGTAGGCACTTTTAAGGCATTAAGGCAAGTTAATCACTACTTCCATATTGGCAACTGGCACTGCTGGAATCTCATCTCTGTGTGATAAATTTTCAAGTAACCTCCCTTCCTCCATCATATTAAAAATAATTTGTGGCTATGGCTAGCTGGCTTTCCCTTTCCTTAGGAAATGAACCTTGAGTGATTTCATAGTCTGTTTCTCTCTCAGCTCTTCTAGCTGATTTCAAATGCATTGTAGGTTAAGAAAAGCCTGAAATACAGTTACTTGCAAGATCTGTGAAAAATGGCACCTTGTGAAAGACATCCACAGAAGCACTGCCATCAAAGAACATCCAGGCAAACTAAAAAACTAAAATTACCTCTTTGAAGACTGCTGCTGAAACATAAATTTTAAGGAATTTAGAGGTTTTAGAGGAGCTAAGATTTTAGTTAGAGATAAGCCTTACTTGAGTTAATTAAAATAAACGAGTAGGTGTTGATGAAGTTAAGAGTTAGTAGTTAACTAATAATTAATTGCTTGTCAGCACAATGTTTGGTTAGCTGGGTTTATAATGAAGAATATAGAACCTGACAAATAGCTTTTAGGAACATAAGACAATTGTGGGCCTCCTCTGTTCTGAAACCAATTGAAGACAAGGAATGGGAGTTCTACCAAGAGTTCATCTGTCATATTTGCATTGAAAAAGTAAAAAGGTCAGAACGAGGAAGACTTCATTTACTTCCTCATTTTGGGACCCCCTCCCCATGAAAGGGACCACTGACCCATTTCAAGGGACAAACTACGCATGCTTAATAGCTTTTGGAGTGATTAGCATATGAAGCGAGGAATGGGATGTACCAAAATTATGAATATGCATTTGTATTTTGGGTATTCAATACTTGTATGGATAAAAGGACTCTCTAATCACCTTGAAGGTGCGGTGTGTATTTGGGAGCTATCCTGCATGCTGCCCGATGTTGCAATAAACATACACTTTCTAACTTTAATCTGTTAGAGAGTTTTTGTCCGTCACAGTTGGATATCGGTACAGATCAATATCCATATTTTTTAAATAAATCACTGCCTGGTCAGTCAACATGGATGCATGCCAGGATAGCCACCAAGCACTCAACTCCACAAGAGGACAGTGCAAGAAACTTAAGTAAAGTCAAAGAACCCTATCAGAAGGGTGAACCCCTCTCCACAAGGACTCTCAGGCAGATTGCCTACAGAAAAGCCGGTACGGTCACAGGCTATGGAAACTACTCCATGGAGGACTTGGCCTCAAGGGACTCTCCCTTGCTACATGGGTGTCTGGAATGGAAATCTCAGGGAACCTGTGCTCAGAACTGCTAGAGATGCAGGTTCAAAATGTGGCAGAGTAAGAACAGATGGCAGGGCAAGCTCTGATGGAACTTCAGGCACTAGGATTTGGTAGGTGGGACAAAGACCACAAGGTCTCAAGAATAAAAGTTATAATGAAAGGTTTAGGGTAGGGAAGAGAGCAAAACAACAGATTTGAGTTTAGGATATAAAGAATCAGCACAACCATTGAAGTACAGAAAAGGTATGAGGAGACATTTTGAAAAGTTCGTGAGCACCTGACAGAAAGTGGAGGACAAATTATAGGGATCACATTTCTGCTTCCCCTCTTTAAGGAATGCATATGCTGGCTTGAGATATACCACAAAGTTCACAAGGGACAATATAGTGATTAAAGAGATTACCAAAATAATCTACCATTGAGTGCTGGTGGACAGATAACAAAAGGTCTCTGATAAGCTAGAAGAAAACCATTAATAAGCGCCACCATACTGTGACACTTTCTGGATGTGTTTGAAATATTAAGGTTTTAGCAAGGTTTTAAGATATAAGGATTGAATCCAAAGGATAGAAACTTACCAGTCTTCCCAGCTCCAACGGAACTGAAAGTTGCTCAAGTGGTGCGAAAACCAGTTAATAAATCTTAATTAAAAAAAAAAAAAGAAAAAAGAAAAAAGCTCTATTAAATGTGAGAAGTGCAGGAAAACTTTCAGTTGAGCTTTTCTTATAAATGCATTCTACTTTTCCAAGATGAGCCTAAATTCTTTAAGCTATTACAGCATTAAACAGGCATTTATTTGACATATACAAAAGACTGAGATTAGAGAGTCATAAAGATGTTATGGACAAATAGCCTGTCATGCATTTCACATGAAGAGATGAAGTATTTAACTACAATTAAAATGTAAACTTATTCTGAATACACAACCTTCACATTTTTAATGAGTCACTAAACACTCTCCTACTCAATGCAGACTTCACTGAAAGGCTAAAAGCACGACCACTCTGGGTGGCACATATGCCATTAACTTCTCTTCCAAGTCATGTCCCTGACCACCAGGGAGCAGGCACAGTGTGTAGCAGAGTGCTTGCTAACAACCACGAACAATTCTGAACACGGAAAAATTTTGAACATGGAAAATCTTAATTGTCCTGCATAGACAGCTAGACTTCTGGCCTGCAGGGGGGTGTTCCTGGGAGGAGAGGCAAGCAGTAAATCCTCTCCGCCTTCTCTGTAGATCACTCAAAGCCACAGCCCACAAAACATTTAAAATAACATCAGGTAGCTCTAACAAGGCTTTCTCACTACTCTTTCCACAGCCTCTGTTTTCTTCACTGGATATCAAGGAATGTTTTCCACGATGTCCAAAACATATTTACCTGTCCACACATGTTGTATTCATTGTGTCCAAACGCATGTAGAGCATTTCTGTGGCTTGTGCAAGCTTAAAGTTTTTTATTAAGGTTTACAAAAACAAGTAGGGTGAGTCAGATGTTTTTCCTTTCTGGTTTTTAATAGAATGTCATCAACTTTCTGTACTGGAAGTTCCCTGAGCCTACTGCAAAATCAGGTAAATCATGTAAATCCACAGTAGAAAAAGCAAATATTGTGAGTTCCACCCTCTAATCCCAACCTGTTCTTCCATTATGGCAACAAGACTGCTGCCTTCTTCCAGAAGGACAGAATCCACATTATGCAACAAGCAATGCAAGTGGTTACAGGAAAGGTTTCTTGCAGAAACTGTGAAATATTAATACTGTAAATATTAATAGTATTTATTACTGTCCCATCAGCTACAAAACAAACAAAATAAAGCCTGCATTTCATAAATGCTCCTCAGGAGCACGGAAAGGATACAACTTGTGGTAAGGAGCCAGGCTGAAGTTTGCACAGCTCAATCAGCAGTGTTGTGTACATGACTTCTATATGTGGTGGAGACGGCAGTTGAAACAACTCTGCAAATATTACCTATGGGAGAGAAAATCACAGAATAAGAGCACAATCCTATGTGAACTGCACAACTCTTGGCTTCTCAATAGTGGCCATCAATCTTAAATAATTACATATCCCAGAAGACCTGTATTTTCAATATAAAATGCACATTCCAGGAAAAAGAGAAAGAACCAGTAAGAGGCAGTTGTGACACAACACTATACTAATACAGCCCAGCGTAACTGCTCTTATCATTTCATACTAACCAGCATCACACACTTACCATTTTGTACAACACCAGCATTACACATCTATTATGTCTAACAAACATAGCATGTAACTGTAGAAATGGGCACAGTTACAATATGCCCTAATGCAGTGATACCATATGGATCTGAGAAATGCAGAAATAATCTGAGCTTGTTGAGTAGTAAATAATGAAGCCTAAGCATTTAGTATGAAAAGAATATTTGCATTAAAATTACATTTTTATCTTTCCCTCTTTTCTCCTATACAAAACCATCTATAAATGGAGTCACAACTTTAAACTGAGAATTACAACCAGCATTTCATACAACAAAAACATATGCTCACTACCCCTTGGAAAAGTCCTTCAAAGAAACATGAAAATAATCTTGCAGTCAGCTTTTGTGTTTTTTTATTTTAAAGTTTGCCTATAATAACAGCATGTCAACCTCTGAGTGCTAAAAAAAAAAAAAAGTCATCACTGTACAACATCCAACTCTGAGTTTTTGCCTATTTTGTATTCCACTCAGCTAAATTTAAATTACATCAAAGGAATTGGAAACTTTGATTCATTATGGTTGATCAGTTTCTTTAAATATCTGAATAAAGCTTAAAGGAACCTTTTTTTATAAGAAAAGTCTTATTTGTGTAAGAAATCAATATAATTTATAGATTTCAGAAACATCAATGAAAACACATCGTCTGGTATCTCTGGCCAGGGGACTATGTACAAATCATGAACGGGACGGGACTGTTGAGGAACGTGTCTCGAGATGTTTATTTTTTAGCAACAGTCTCATTACATGGTTATGATAATGGGAAGAAGTTAGTAGCTTACATTTTAGGTAGTAGACTAAGAACTTAATGTTACAACTTACTTTAAAAGCTTTCTGACTAATCTCACAAAGCAAAAGCATATTGACAGTAGCTCTATCCAACCACTATAAGCACACGTACCTTTGGTTAAAACAATGCTCGTTTATTTTGAATACAATGCCTGCTAGTAAGACTTAAGATACAATGCACAGAGCTCCATTATTAAGCTTAGACCTTCCTAATATCTCACCAGATATACTTTTCTGCAACTTAAGTTATTCTCCCCAAGCGTTAATACACAGACTATTGTTCTATTTGTCCTTTCTTTCTACTTCTTGTATAATTTTTCTGCTGACGAATCTTATAGCTACTGCTTAGCTCTAATCTCCATCCTGTTGTCTCTGAGGCCTGCCTTTTGCAACGTGCCCAAAACCCTCTATTTTAAGGAATCTCACAGCTGGGACTTTTTTTTCTAAGGAAGGACTCGAATGCATGAAGAGACTGTAAGATGCTGGGAAACCCTTCTGTGTCAGCATAATTTAGACATTTAGTTCAGACAGATATGGCCAAAAGGTAGGGAGAACTCTGTTGGGCAGAAAATGGCTCAATTTTTCAAGATGGGAAATAACAACTGGACGATCAATTGCATTCTGAAACTTAGTGAAATTTTCACAAGGAAAAAAGGGAATTTTTACAGTGTTAGTCATAGAATTTGTACACTTTTAGTTTTTTCATCACTTTTTACAGCACTTCAAGATGCTGGAGGTAAAATCACTGTATATGCTTTAATATTAAGACATAAAATTATTCCAAATTTTTCCTAACTGCAGGGGGCGGGCCCTGAGCAATGACCTGTGGGGCTTTGAGCCCCCTGAGGGCGGCTGGCGACTGCTGTGGCTTTTTTTGGGGGGATTTGGTCTCTTTCTCCAGGCAGCAACTGACAGAACGAGAGGTCACAATCCCCAGCTGCACCAAAGGAAATATAGGTTAGATATGAGAGAAGAGTTTTTCACGGAAAGGGTGATAAAGTACTGGAATGGTCTGCCCAGGGAGGTGGTGGAGTCACCATCCCTGGATGTGTTCAAGAAGACTGGATGTAGTGCCATTATTTAGTTGAGGTGCCAGGGAACAGGTTGGACTCTATGATCTTGAAGGTCTCTTCCAACCTTGTGATTCTGCAATTTTAACACTGTTTAATGTAATAAATTTAATACTGTTCTGATTTCAGAGTAAAAAAAAGAACAGAGGTGACCAAAACTCATACAATTTCACAGCAATCAGAATATTTGGCACTTTGGTAGCAAAAGGAATTCTCAATCTCACTTCAAGATCAATATTCTACATGGGATTATTTCTTGTCCTAATTAGCTCTGAAAATCATACTTCTAATTACTTCTTTATAAAGCCTTTATACAACAAGTTGCTTTTACTGTACTCTGTTAATTCTTCTGAATTTTTGATGAAAACTAGTGAATATGGCTCTGCAATTTGAAAACCTTTTTCAATGAGGGCAGTAAAAGAAGATCTGTATTGCTCTGCTGGTACATGTAACATTTATCTAGAATTCTCTAATAAGGAGAATGTCCTGGAGGACACATGTTGCTACTTCATTAGAAGTTTCTTCCAGGGCTAGTAGGACAATTTAAAAGATCCAGACATAAAATCATGCAGAACGGCTGAGTCTAACTGGAAATCATCAAGTCAAAAACCCCCTGCATAATGTAGGGTCACCTAGAGCAGGTTGCTTAGGGCTGTGTCCTTCTAGGTTTTGAACCTCTGCAACTCTTCCAGTGCTTAATCACCTTTGCATTAAAAATAGATTTTTCTTATATTTAAATTGAGTTCCTTGAATTTCAGTATGTGCACATTTCCTATTGTATTTAAGTTTAAAATGGAATGCACCAAGTTAAAATGACAACAAAAGCACAAGACTATCACTCAACTGTACATAACCTGTTCATTTAAAAGCTGCTGGTTTAATTTAACAAAATTCTGGTTGATTTCCAAATCACACTATAATTTAAGGAACCTATAATGGAACTAACAGGGATGTATTACTTGTGAAATAATGGAGCATCAAAGAGGTGAGCTATAAAATCCATACCTCTACTATATGGTAGTTCAAAGGGATCTTGTTATTTCCTGGATAGCTCAACAGCTGTGCAGCACTGTAAAACCACAGACACATTAAATTCAAACATAACACAGCAAATGTGATATAAAAATCAAGCAGTAGAATTATAGAAAATAAAACCAGCACTGAATAATTCAATAATCCTTCCAAAATCTGTTATTCAACCCTCAAGAGCACTGAATAAGAGAAACAGCAAAAGGACTCACTAGCACTGCCTAAACTATGATATATGTAATAATGTACTCTCTGTGCAGCAGTAACATCCCTTGAACACTATCCTGCTACCCACAATGGTTTAGTACAGAAGTCACAGTGATCTGTAATTATGGCTCGTGTACATAAAAAGGGAAAAAATATCCTGAACAATTAAAAGTTCAGAATAACTTGAAAACCCAATTAAGCTAATGGTTTATATAAGAAACTCTCATGGTTCAAATGCCTTATCCTTTAATCAGGTCATTATCACCTATCATTTGTGCAAAGCAAACCAATACTTCTGGCAAAGCTTCTATCTCTCCTGGTCTTTTACTTTCTTCTGAAATACTATCCCAGTAATGGCAACAACACCAAATTTCTAGTTTCTGCTGGATCAAACATCTGCGACTGTAAAACTTTATCAGATGCCATCACCAAAAACATTATTTCTACCCATTTAATGCATATTATTCAGTGTTTGCTAGTTTTCATACAGAAGTGTGACAGCTGTGGCAAACCATCTCGGTTATCAATTACCCACAGCAGACACTGCTTGAGCAGAAATGAAGAAAAGTGCCCTGACTGCCTCCTGGCACAGCTGAATTGAAACTGATGAAATCTGGCCCTGCAGTGACTCCCCAGAGTGAACTCAATTACGTCTGGCATGCGATTCCCACAGGAAGCACCACAAGGAGGTGTCCATAAACACCAATGCTCAGTTAGCTGCAGATGGACCAGCTCCATGCTCACTGCCCCAGCTAATCAGCATTCCAGGAAAAACAACACAGCCACATTTCCATATTTTCCAGAGAGGTCCCATGAGGAATAAGGTGTGTCTGCATATTTTTGCAGCACGTGCCTTATTACCAAGAGATTCCCTTCCCAAGAAACCACTGCCTTCTGCATTATGCAGACTCTCTGTTATCTGGATGTTACGGATACACAGTATGCCAGGCAACAGTTTCAGCACAGATAAATGCAGTACATAAACTTTCACCACCAGCTTTAGGAAACGTCTGTCTGGAAGTCTTGCCTAACCAGTGCAGGACATATCCCCGCTGGCACCAAAGCCATGGTAGCAGTTAAAAAGTGCCACAGTCCCCAGTACTAAGCTCCTCCTACCAAGTCTTTCTCTCTTTCCAGTGAGATTTGATGATGCAGTGGAGGTTCTCCTCTATTACAAATCTCTCAACAGAGTGGCTGCCAGGCATGACAGGACCCTGGTAAAAGAAAGTGAAGACTCATGAAGATCACTGCTAAAGCAATGGTACCACAGGCAACAAGCTTTCTTAGATACATTTACAGGTAGAATAAAGTAGTCCAACATCCATATAAACACCATGAGGTCTCAGCTGCCCTATATCCTTCAGGACTGAAAAGCTGGTATGACACATTTCCACACAAACCTCAGATTCACCCATGTTTAAAACAAAATGAATAGTGGGACTTGTTAAAAGAGGAGATAAGAACAAAATTAGAGAACATGATTTTAGGTTCACAAAGGATCTGCTTCTTCCTTTGCTTTGTGGAATCACTGGGAAAAAAACCAAACCCAGCTAGCTAGACTAGAATAAAGCCATAGAGTGGAATGAATACACACTCATGGTCTTCTTCACTGCAAAAACCAGAGGCCAGTAAGTGAAGGTAAAAGGCAGCAGCCTCAGTTTTGCTGCTGACCTTCCAACCACTTACTGTTCTGGGAGAAAAGACATCACATTTTCACTAATATTGCCCCAGGAACCTAACTATGAAATTCACTTACCATTCCCCACAGCAATCACATACCTCAGGGTCATCCGTGTAGTCAAACATCCTAAAAATAACCCTTGGCATCGGGTATACAGAATCTTCAGTGTGAGGTGGGGGTGTGAAGGGAGGCAGATTGTGTTGCAGTGCCTCACAGAGAACGCTGTCAAAAGCCAAGTAGGGCCTCAGGATATGCCGCTCCTGCCAACGGTCTTTCTTCAATTTCTGAATTTGCGACCAAAGGCAGTCTAAATACTGAAGGGAAAGATGAGAAACATTACATCTGCTGAATCTCTGAACAAAAACGGCAGTTTCCTGAACTATCTGAAATGTATAAACTCCTACTACATGCAGAAAAATACCAAAGTTTTTTGCTGATTCAGTAAACCAACAAATAATTTAAGAACTCTAAATGCCATAACTATTCCTAAGTCCATACAGGTTTGTGTTAGTAAAATTTAACTCCTGGCAATTTTTTTTAATTACTAGGCACCAACAGGCATCTCAGGAGTCCCAGAGAAACTACAACAGTGAACAGTCACTACTCTTTGGTGGTATTAAAAGAGTCACCATATCCCAGCATGCTCAGTTTCACATAAGAAGTCCCTTTAACATGAAGCCCTGTAATCTGAATTTCAAAATCAAACACTACAATTTACTTCATAACTTTTCCTCAGGGGCTTGCAGCAAACAACAGAACCCATCCTTCTTACTCAACTCAACCTCTTATTTTGGCCCAATACTTGGAAAAGAGCTCCCCACACAGAACTTACTGGAATCAATTGCAAACAGCAGACAAATCAAAGGATTCATCATAAAAGAACACCTGAGTAAAAAATTGTTTTTCCATCTTTTTGAAGGAATAAAATGTAAAGTCTAATCACCTCTTCTTGTGGATGTGGTTTGTCAGCAGTCCACACTTGCAGCATGGGTACATGAATCTTCTGGCGGCGCCTGTTTAAACAAGAGAGAAAATCTGACCTTTAACAGACTAATTTAGGGTAGCAGTTTTGTTTTTATTGTGAGTGTGCTACTATTCATTCTCTTCAGCTGATGAAGACTACAGTGGATAAAAATCAGGCTTGTGATACTTTAAGTATCTCCACTACCAGATCTTGACAACATTAACTTGAAGCACCTAGACAGAAAGCAAGGACGCTGCACAGCACTGATGCAACAATCTATTTGTATTAACAGCACACTCGCAATTCCATCTGCTTCAGCATGAGCACAAGACCTTAAACATACTCTCGAACTAGGCAAGACCGTAAAACTTTTCAAATTCAAAAAACTCTCCACCTACTGCATTTTTAGGGCTTTGTTCCCCCACAAAATGGCTCACACATAAAACTTTAGAATACTTTAAAGTGAGCAATAGTCAACACTATTACTTCACACTTAAAGATATCAAAGAGAGTGTTTCTAACCAGTTACAACTTACTTCAGATAACTTTCTGCCTGAGACAAGAGACGATCCATTTCAGCATCCTTCTTCTCATATAATTCCTTTCCAACCCAAGGCAAAGATGACAGAAATGCAAACATATACCAGTCACATCGCACCTATAGGAAGGCAATATACCAAAACCTGAGTATGCCAGTAAGCTTCAGCAGATTTTATACACAGACATTTAAATTTAAAACATCAGCAAGTTGTTTTGGGGGAATGTAAAGACCAGCAGCTGCAGACTGGATAGACAAGGCACGAGAAAAAAATATTCATGCTTGAAAAGTGTAATTTTTCACTTGAACTGTGTTAGGCAGATTAGAAAATGGGATAAATAGCATCACTTTCAAAGTTCTCCTGGATATTGTCAGTACAGCAGAAATACTAGGCACACTCTGCAATTGCCAGAGTAAGGTAAAATAAATTCAATTTGGCCACTTCACTATAAAGAACCGTACTTTCTTACTGTACACATATTTCCCAATTGCCACAGGCTCCTTTTACTAGTGGTCAGGAAACTGTTATGTGTCAATCCATTTAGGTTGCTCTCCCTAAACTCTCCCTCTTCTAAGCATAAGAACAGAACAAAGAGTATAGACATACTGTGAAACGGGCCCAGGAACTCTACAGATCTTTTGCTTACCTGGGGTACATCCTCCTCCTGTGTCACACTCACAAAGTTCTCAAACATAGCTACCATTGAAGGTGCAGCTATCACATGGCAATTCACGAGATCGGATAGAAAACGTACCTCAAGAAGAGAAAAAAAAAAGTTCTAAATTAATACTTTTTAAACTGGCTCCACAAGAACAAATAAAATTACTGAAATTATTAAAATAAATCACCAATAAAAGTATAATACTCATTCAGTACCACAATGGCTGAAATAGTGCACACTGTACAGACTCGCCTTGCAATGACAAGCATAATATGTGCTGTCTAACATACTGTTCACTAAAATGTCCTTAATCCCTCCCACTGCAATTAGCATCGTAAGGACAACATTCCTAATTAAGGAATGGTGGAAAACATGCAAACTGATACTATAGAAGAAAACCGCTGTACTTCTCTCTATTCTGTACAGTATCAGGTAACAAAAATAACAGCAAGTTCTAGCAATAGATCTTATTAGCAAAGATAATACCACGGTTGACTGAACTTCAGTCTCTTGACTGGAATCTTAATTTTCACCAGTGGGATTCAGAAGGTGAGGAACTTGGCAGTGGCCTTCTAAATCAGACACTGCTGAAGTTCTAATAGCTTACAGCAGACAAAATCTATAAGCAGTAAGGATGGAGCAAATGGTTTCAAAGACAGGCAGTGCTTTTTTTTATCTTTTACATTTGACTGAAGAACAAGCAGTGAAAAGCACCTCTGTTTAACACACATTTAATTTTTCACTGTGAAAAAGATACCATTGGAAGTACATTTTGTAAATGTAATACGGGTTCTCGTCCTTGAAAAGGAAAATACTGCTAACACACACATAACACACATTTCCTCTTGGAATATTTACAGTGCACTGCACATTGATGGCAAAAGACACTAAAATACACGTTGCAAGGTCCAGCTCTCTGTAACAAAAAAGGTGAAAAGAGGAAAGAATAAGGATATGAAACAAATAGACAAATAAAACTCCACTTACTAAATGCACAGCTTCATTATACATGTTTACTTTCAGACATTCTTTAAGCTGACGAATCATGGCTTCTACAAATTCCCCGCCAAAATTGTAGTTCCTGGCATTCAGCAAGCCCACCAATGTCGTGTAAACAGTAAGCTTTTCTGGTAGCAGACGTGCACTGACACAGAAAAAGAAATAATGTGTTAGTTGTTTATTCATCATGTGCCAGTTGGCCACTGCATGGCATCTTAGAATCTGCGTGTTGTAAGTTAAAACTTGGCTCATGAGGAAATCAGAAAATCAGAAAAGACTGCTACTATCACTTTCTAGTACAAAATATTTGCTTTTCATTTATATCTAATTGCTGAGTATACTGCAGGGTTGGACAAATAATATTAGTGACAGAATTTTTTGCAAGAATGCAAGAAGTTGTTTAAGTTCATAGTTAATAGTAATGTTATTACACAGCATAGGGAAGGCTAGGTCCTACTGTAAAAAAGTAATTTACCTCTACCATTTTAAGCAGGTAAGTAAGCAGCGTCTTTCTGCTGCCAGGGAAGGAAGCACACTACTTACCTGTTATTAAAAATATTGCTAAAAAATAAACTTTAAGTATCTGCAAAATATTAGAATAGGCTATATAGTCTGCACCACACCCTTCCTTCGGACTTGTCTTACCTCTTGCAACAGACCCTGCACAACACCTCCCTCAACAGCATTCAGTGACCCTGACATGGCATCTCTGCTCCTGCATTTTGCAGGGAGAGGAAAGAGAGCAGGCAGCCACCAGAGAGCCTGGTTTCTGCTCCTCCCGTTCCCAGTTCTTCCCCTCTAGCAAATGTGCTTACAAAGACTTGAGCACATGACTGCCAGGGAAGAGAAAGCTGTGAGAAAACATCAAGATAACACAGACAGCTGTTAGCAGCCACTTTGGTGGTCTTAAGCGTTTCATGTGAAACAGGATTTTACCCAGTATTGCTGTGTTCCCACAGCTACTGCAGACCAGTTCTAATGTTTCATCTACCTGCTTCAAGCCTTTATACACATTTCAAGTCAAAGCAAAGTAAAAAGATATTTTTCTTGACTTACACCCAATACATAGTGAACTTGTTCCTCTATTTCTTTCGTTTGTAGTAAGACAAACCGTAAGCTATGACACCTATCAGAAACTAAAGCTATTCATGGCTTTTAAACTACCTTAAAACTAAACTTAGGCACAACGAAAGCACACCCCATATTCCCAGACCTTCTCAATACATACACAGTACACAGTATTCTTAGTATCTTGCTTTTGTAATTTGGCAGATCAGCTTCCAAAACACCAGCTAGGCCCTCCAGGTTGCTCTCCAAAGATGAATTACTCTAAAATGAAAACAAAACAAACAAACAAACAAATTTCATCAACCAGGCAAAACGAACTAGTCCAACTCCCACATGTAAGACAATTATAAGAGCATCCTTTCGTGTCGCCTCATTTTTCGGGGCAATAATCAGCTTCCATCAAAAGCCAAGATCTGTTCTCCCTTGCCTAACAAGAGTTGCACCTGACCGCCAAACTCCCTCGCTAGGAACTTCAGCGTTCCACAGGGATGCAAGATCTAACATCACCTCAGGAGCATCCCGACCAGCCGAGCATTGATTAGCAACACAGCACGAAGCTGAAAAACACCTAGTTTCTCTGTGCATCATCACCTATTGTTCTGTCACCTCCTCCTCCATCAGCCCCACTGTCGGGACTGGAAACTTGTGCCGCAGGAAGAGCAGTTAATTCTTTCGCACCCTTCGCACGTCAGAATCACCAGCACCATCTTTAGGTACAATAGTAACTATGCTCTGGCCTTTTATCCCCGACTGGGAAGCACCACGCTACGATTTAAGCACTTACCGCCACAGCACGTGGCTTAGCAAAAAAACCGGCAACTTTCCATCCATCTCATAAAATAAGCATTTTTTGAGGGTCGCTACTACAGACGAAGTGCACCCACACCATGCAAGGGAGAGGGAGAAGGGAAACGAGGCTTGAATTCCCCGAGCCGCCGGCCCACCTACCTTCTCTCCCACCCTGCAGATGAGCGACTCGAGCCTCTCCTCAATTTCCGACGGCTCGGACGTCCTCCGTCTCTTGTGGGGCTGCCCTGCTCCACAACACACCAAACACAGCGTTACCGCCGCCGCAGAAACCCTGCCGCTCCTTAACCCCACCGCTCCTCCATCCCGCCCAACCCACCCTCCTGCCGGGACAGCGCGACGGGGACGCGGGGCTCACCATCGCTGTCGTCGCTGTGCCGCCGCCGGGACATGGCCAGGAGCAGCGGAGAGGAGCAGACGGGAGGAGCAGTGACGAACTGCGCGGAGCGCTGCGGAGCTCCGGGAAGCACTGGGCCGAGGCACCCCGCGCGGGCCGAGCAAGCGCGCTGCCTCCCCGCCCGCAGCCGCGCTGCTTCCGGGGCGCGCACGGCCCGGCCCGCCCACTTCCCTGAGGAACGCGAGCCGTTCCGGGTCGGGGACGGAGCCGGCGGGAGGAGGCGGAGAGCGGGCGCTTCCCGGAGAGGGGGAGATGGTGCTGGGTGAGGCGGCGCCGCGAGGCAGCGCCGAGGGGGCGGCGGCGGGCAGGAAGCAGCGCGCGGCCGCCCGCAGGAAGGTGGGTCGGGGCCGGGGCCGGGCCTGGGTCGGGCCGCGCTGTAACCTCGGTAACGAGGACGCTTGCGGTGCGTTCCAGGCCTTTTCCCTGTTCGTCAAAGCCAAGGAGGTGCCGGCCGCGTCGCGGTGTCCCGGCGGAGGAGAGGGCGTGCGGTGGCGGTGCTGCCGGCAGGCGTTCGAGGAGCTGCCCGGCATCCACAGGCACGTGGCGCTGCACCATTCCGGGGACGTCGGGCGACAGGCGGGGCTGGGCGCGGCGCCGGCCGACACCGCGGGCGGCACGGCCCGGCCGAGCGGGCGCTCCTGCGGCAGCCCGGAGATCTCCTGGGCGCTCCCGGACACCAGCCACGTCAGCCACGACGATCTGACCAGGTAAGGAAGCTCCTCGCCTCCCCGAAGCTCCGGGACTGGGATATTCGGCTTTACATGATCGTCTGCCAGTGGTACTTCTTATGGGAAGTACTTCTTAAGCCACGCTTCTAAGGTATAGGAAGAGTAGTCCCCAATATTCTTCTAGATCTTCACATTTTTTGTGTATCCTTTATATAAAGAGTTAGATCCCTTGCAGTTTTTAATGGTGGATTGAACTAGTCTCCTGTACTTTTACAGCAGGTCTGTATGGGTGTTGCTTGACAGCTTGGATCTGTAAGGAAGGACCACAAAGCACAACTTTGCACGGGTTCCTTTCTGCTGTTTGTTCAAGTTCCTGAAGTTAGTTATGAAGAAGGTTCATAAAAACACTTCTGACTGTGACAGAGTTCAGCTTGTGCTGCACAGAAAGTGGGAATGTGCAATCTCACAAAAAACTTAGGCTTTTTAAATTTATATAACTCAAGTGTTTGAGTTTTCAAGTGCCATTTTGGTAAAGTGAGCCAAATGGCTTGCATGTATGCATAAAAGCCAGCAATTCTTGTGTTCTGTGTGTGGGGAGAGCATATGGTAGGCCCTGGAAGTGAGAATACAAAGTTCACTTTGTAGCTAGTCCCGAGGATTAGAAGTCTGGGAGCTTTTTTTTGGTTAACATTCATTCTATTTGAAATAAATCAAACCCAGTAGGTCTAATCCCTCTAAAGTTTGTTTGAGGGGATTTTTTTCTCTACACATCTGCCAAAAGAAAATTGTCTGCTTTTTGAATGGTTACTGCTAATAGTACAATTTTGTTCTTAACATTTTTTTTCTTTTTGCTTACCTTTGCCATGCTGTGGGCAGCCAGGTGGGAGACGTACTTCTCTATTACTGTTACTGTGAGGTGAGGGATCCAGAGAAACTCTGTGCTTGGCAGAAGGCTTTGTGTCAGCATCTACATCTCACTGGCAAGGTAAGGTTTGCAGCAATGGTTCTGTTCTTAAAGGAAAAAGCCCCACATCTTTATGTAGTGCAGGATGATGAGTTATGTGGAGAACCACATGTGTTTTGCACCAGAAAGTGCTAGTCTGTTATGATCCCATTAAGAGAGACACTCAGACTTGGTAAGGTGTCTTTTAGAATTCTGTTTAAGAGCTATCACAACAAAGAAAAAAAAATACAGATAATCTTAAATCCCCTTAAATCCCTTTTGATGTAGGGAACCCTGGGTTATGTGGCATTGAGTGAGACTTACAGGCAGCACACTGTGCAGACCCTGTCCTTGCAAGGATTACCCCATTTCCATCAGTTTTACACATGGAAACAGTCTTTTTATCACTCCTGCTGTCAACCAGAAAGGATATTCACATGAGAAATTCGTGAGGCAGGGAGATGAAAGTGACTTAATCATTGGTGTCAGCAGAGAGTTGCATTCAGGCGTCTCAATTAGCATTAGCAGGCTGGGTGTATCCTGTGGCTGAAGGACACATGTAGCACAACAGCACAACGAAGCTTGAGGGCCAAGCTGGAAGGATAGCTTGGGTCTGGGCCTGCTCCACTCACTGGTCACCTGTACTCTCCTTCCTCAGTGCACAGTGGGCTTCCATGCAGAGTGGCTACAACAAGCTGTAAGCCATACTGTTGGGAAGGTGAGAGCAGCCAACACCTTAGACTACACCATAATGTAGCATTTCTCTTTTCTGCACAGTCTGTTATTTTCATTCCTGGCAGGTTAGACTAATGACATCAGTTGCTTGTGTACCTGACCTCTGGATGCTCTGTGCAAAGCTGAATTTTAGTCTCAGAAAGTTGATGTTCCTAGGCTATCTGTGGGGAGAAGGAGAGCAATGTGGAGCAGGAAAATCCTTTTATCTGAGACTTGTGTTCCTAATTAGCTTCTTACTCTCTGCCAGTGGTACATCAACACAGGCCTGGGGGTGAAGTGTTGTCATAGATTCACTTATTTTTCTGCTCAGCTGTCTTCTCTGGTGTTTTGCTCAAGTTTCTTTTCTTTTTTTTTTCCAGGTAGAGCATTTACCTTCCCAATCAGCTGGTTTTTTTCTTGCTTCTTATATTCAGTCTTTCCCCCTTCCCCCCACCCCCACTTCAGACCTTTTGTTCATTTGTCAGTGCTGGAGATAAAATGACTCATCCCAAAAATTAATATTAGATACGATGTTATGCATATTCACATGTTCTTTTTTAGCTGTGTGAGTCATGCAGCACAAACCTATTGTTCTTTCTGAGGCAACTTCCAGTGGGAATTCTAATGCTGACTGCAGGATTTGCAGACAGCCATTTCTGTGTTTATACAGCATTTCTCTGTTTATTGAATGGACTTCTCTGACTGTCCTGGTGTGATTCTTTTAAAATGGCTGAGAAATGGTTACTGGATTGTTGAGGGTTTTTTCCCTGGTTATTGTCTTTATGTTCAACTTCAGACTAACCATATTTTCCTTCCTTATTCAGTAGTCTCTTTTCTGAACATACTCCTGTGCCCTTTGTCACAGGCAAATATTTTGCCATAGTCATATTTTGCCAATTTCACTATGATCTCTTTTGCTGTAACTAAGGCTCAGCCCCAGCTTCTCCTCTTGCCTTCCAGGTACGAGTTGCTTCAGAGGGGATTAATGGGACAGTTGGTGGAAGCAAAGTAGCTACCAGTCTTTACATTAAAGTTATGCTTTCCCAGCCTCTGTTCAAAACCACTTTGTGTCAAGAGGATTTCAAGGTATGACAAAAAATTTACATAGATATTATTAATGCAAGTAATTTAATTTTAAAGAAGTAAGTAGATTCCTTTTTGACAGTATTACTTCTGCTGTAGCAGTTCTGCTCCCCCATCACTTACCTAAGTTGGTGGATCTTAACCGTACTGCAAATCTTTGCTGGTTTTTACAAGAATTGGGAGTTTCCATGGGCAGTGATAGTCACTGTTACAAGCTTTGGCAGCTATGGGTGCAGCTGCAAAGCCCCTGAATACAGATGAGTGAGGGAGTGTGCCTAAGCCCCACCATTCTGCAACAAGCATTTACTGCAGACTGAGCAGGCATCATGACATACACTTAGCCCAGCAAAGTGTTTGCACGCTGTCCTCTTCACCCTGCTTTGACGGGAAGCAGTACTACTGGTTTAGGTTCATGCAGGTTTTGGTGTCCATATAGGTGCACTGTCAGTTCCATGGATTGGGTATCTTCCAGAAAAAACACACAGGGACTGTCAAGAGGTTTCTTGCTACTCCACTTAGTGCCTGGCTGGAGTATACATACTGATTGGTGTCATCTCATGATGAAGGCAGCAGTGGCTGGTGTGCTATATGGCATTCTGGTAGGCTTTGGCTGCCAGCCACTCTAAGTTCTGGTTTCTCTGCAGGAAAGAAAAGCTGCTGCTTAAGCTGCAGCTCTTCTCGACACAGTTTTATTTGCAGGGCGTGCTATTATTTTTTCATAAGCAACTAGATCAAAGGAGTTAGTGAAACTTGCGAAACTCAAATTCCATGCTGAGCTGCAGTGATGATTCAGTCTTAGCTTTATAAGTGTCTGTTATGCTTGGCTGAATTTCAAGAGGAGTTGTGTTAGTTACAATCATATGTAGATACAAAAGAAAAAAAAGAGGGATGGAATTTTACCTTGGCAAAACCTTCAACCTTGCATTATCTCTCTGGGCGTCAGTGTTCATGCATTAGTCGAATATAGTGTTTGCTGTCTCACAGTTCCTCCTGACTATTGTATGCCCAAGTGAGTGAGGCTTTCAGGTTACTGTGTCATGAAGACATGGGATAGAGGAGTTACTGGTGTTACCAATATTGAGAACGGGACGTGCCTTGTCTTGTCTGGCCCTGCTGCTGAACCAAATGGCGGCCACTGTGGTGTTTCACCCCAGAGACACCTTTGGCTAGGTGGATGTTGCAGCTGGGAGCATGGACACAAGTCCAGACAAGCCGGAGCTCAGGTGGCTGTGGATGGAGCTTCCTTGCAGAGGGTCTGCTCCTCAGGTTTCCCTCTGCCAGAGAAGCCTGTAAGGCTATGGTGACGAAAAGGAGTCGGTTCTGATGGAGGGTTTTAATCCAGAGCTTTTATTCTGGCCTGCAGGCCTCTGAATCCAGTCACAGCTCCACCACTCCTGGACCACGTGGTTCCCCTCTCTTTTACCTGGGGGAGGGGACGGGGGCAGGGATAGGGAGCCACCAACCAGGTATGGGAGAGGAGGTCTCAGGGGACAAAGGACACTTGGATGGCCCAATGCCCCTCTGGAATTCCAGGAGTGACAGACAGTGCTTCGCAGAGGTCAGGGTGGGGAAAGAAGGAGTGATTGACACACCTGGGAGGACAGCTTCAGGGGAGAAACCAGGGTTCGGGGGTAAACCATGAAGGCACACTGCAACATGGAGTGAGAACTGTACTTGGGGCTACCAGCATGCCCAGTGGCCACTACAGTTCCTGCAGCCTGATTTTCATAATAGTTGGAACACTGCTACACAGCACTGCACTTTTCTTTGCGTGTTTATATACTTGATGATGCCTAAGCCATGTTTGAGGGTCAGTCCTGCAGACATTCACACTCCCTGTAGCCTGCAATGGGGGTGCCTACTGAAAAAGGGCTTACCAGGACTTGTGAAGGGGAAATCCCACGATTCAGTTTGAGGGGAGGGGAAGGTGCCAGCCTCCACTTTTAGCAAATCTTGTGCCTGGCTGACCTCCCATACATCTCCATCACATGCGTGAATACTGCAGTTCCCATGACACACGTCACAACTGGAGGCACAGCTGTGCTTGTGTCCAGTGCTAGAGGGTTATGAAGAGAACAGCAGGGCCTACATGGGGCAACATGATCCATTACTGGAGGACATTATTTAACATTCCTGTCAAGATCAGCATGCTTTTATAGGGACCTCAACTTTCTCACAATAAGTGCTAGTAACATATTGCTGACTAAAATTTGGTCTGCATTCCTGCACTTCCAGCCAAATGCTGTCTGTCTCAACTGCAGTCATTGGGCCTGACACCTGTCTTCCAGGTTGTGTTAGGGGTCCACTGCCTAAACGTCAAGATTTAGAGTGTGGAGTTCAGCAGGAAGGGCAATTCTTTCCCTCAGCCACAAAGATATTTTCATATTCTAATGATCTGTAGAATTAAATTTTAACTTTGACACCAGGCAAATTTTGGTGAATTGGTTTTTTATGTTTGATTGCCTAGAGCAGCGCAGGAGGAGCTCACTGTTTCCCAGACCTTCGAGTTGGAGTATTCAAAGAAATTGTACCTATGGGCATTGATCCAAAGATAGTGTCTTACAAGGAAACTGGTAAGTTTATGTAATGAAAAATAAAGCCTCTCACCCGGTGAGAGGTGAGTGAAGAGTAAAATCTTTCATGAAAAATACTTCCCTTTCTTTGCACAATGGCCAGGACACAGGAGAAATAGATACAGAAATTGGTATCTTACCGGTAGTCAAAAGCTACTGGTGCAGAGAATTTGCTGGTCTAGATTTTGCCTAACCAAGTGTGTAGCTGCCTCAGAAAACTTCAGAATTAACTTCAGGTTTTGTGGGTGAGTTCAGATGACATGGAGCAGTTACCTTGTTGTGGGGTAGGGACTGCTAACTTGGCTTCACTCGTTTTGGAGCCAACAGCCATGCTCCTGCCTTTTGCACTAAGCAGATCCAAGCTCTGCATGAACTCCATCTGACTGCATTTGTTTTGTGCTAACTGTAGCTGTTTAGTGTGGATTACACCTGATAAGCTGTTCCTGGCTGTGGATTTGCTAAATAAGGATGCTTACATAGGTGGTAAGCAGAAGCACAGCAAATAGCAATTAACAGAGCAGCTTTGGGGTTTTTTTTCCACCAAGAGGTTTTGTTGGTGCCAAACTTCTACAGCATCTTTCTGTGAATTTGGAAGAGGATTATTTTTCCCATTTTTTGATAGTTTGTGGGCTGTATGTTTGGCTATTTCTTTCCTTTTTTGCCCCTTTTCCTCCTCTTTTGTAGCATTTTATGGAGATGATTCCTATTACTCCGGCAGGTTACTTGTAGGGATAGTTTTTAATAAAGTAAGGGATTTTGCTGGTGGAGCTTTTTAGTTTGTCAGTAGATTAAGGGTCCTAAGCCCTGAAAATTGAGAGACTTTATGTAAATTGAAGCTGTACTGAAAGTAATACATGTTTATGGAAATTTTCTATTGTTATCAAGAAGAGTTTAATTTAAAAAATTGTATTGCTGCACCTCCAAGTTTAATGACATGAGCAAAGAGAAGTGACACGTCACTCCCTCTTCTACAGCTGTAAGAGTAGCTAGGGGGATGCAGCAAAGATCACAGAGATAAGTTCCTGTCTGCCCTTTTTCCATCGCATGGAAGAGTGCTGTGTTTTCTTTCATTTGCCAGTAGAAAGCTAAACATGGATAAACTTGGCTAATTGAGTTGGGATGAAAAGTCTGTGAACAATACCAAAAATGTTTTGGAAATCTGAGGAGAATCTGGGTCAGTGATCTCATTTGTGACATTGTTTCATAGTTCTGCTTCTCACTTTTCTTCACCCCTGCCTCTTTTTTAAATTTTTTTTAAATTTTTGTTTTGTTTTGTTTTGTTAAAGGTATCCATTTATCCCCTCAGGAATTTCATAGAGAGGTAGAACAGTATTTGTCTCAGGCCACTCAAGGACAAAGCGATACCATCTTGCTGGACTGCAGGAACTTCTATGAAAGTAAAATAGTAAGTACTGCTTGCCTGCTTCTTTACAGGTGCTGGGGTGAAGTATTTATGATTGTGAGGGTGTAACCTTACTATTAGAAGAGATTACATACTCCAGATTGACTATAATGTGTACATACTGCAGTTTAGTAATTAATATTAGACACAAGGAATGGAGGACCTGCCCAGCAACTCAGGATGGAGCCTGCCTAGCCAAGTGCATATAGAGTGTGGGCCAGTTAGAAAATAAAGAGGTCCATACAACATGAGCATGTTTGAAGTAGCATAATTTGTAGGAATGTTTTTTAGCAATTTTTGTCTTGTCCTGTCTGTCAAAAAGAAATGGGCATCCTGCTGTCACAACTGCCACCCCTCATGCATTCTTGTGGTTTGTCCTCTCTGACAGTTCAGCTTAGCTCTCTCTTCTTTCAGTGAGGAGACTTGCTGTGTCCAGAATCCTCCTACAGATTTTAATATGTGTTTTGATGCATAAATGCAGCTGAGGAGCTGCCTAAAACAGCTGCAGTGAGCTGAATATTCCAGTCCAAAGGTTTGTTACTTAAAAAGGTTTGAGGCATAGACCTTACCAGTAACAGTACTTGTAACTAGTTGCGTGGCCATTTGTTGTAATTGCAGGGACATTTCCAGGGCTGTCTGGCTCCAGATATCAGGAAGTTCAGCTATTTTCCAAGCTATGTAGATGAAAACCTGGAGCTTTTTAAAGACAAGCGTGTCCTAATGTACTGCACAGGAGGGATTCGTTGTGAAAGAGGCTCTGCTTACCTCAGGAGCAAGGTAAGATGTCATTTGGAGAGCACAAGAGTCGGGGAGTTGAGACTGCTTTAAGGGCACCTGTCTTTTATTGCTGGTGAATTCTTACTGTGCACAAACTGCAGAATGCTCAGGTGTGGAGATAAATGCCTCTAACATGTGCTTGTCTCATACTGTCTGTCAAGGACCCGATAGTTGAGTGTGGCTCAGTATGACCTGCGTGAACTAGTGTCACAGCAGTGAAAATAATTACATAACCCATTTACTGAGAAGAGATATTTGTAGGATTGTTTTAGGGGGGCTTGAAAATACTCTGCAGTGTTTCCACAGACTAGGTTATGCTTTCATTACTGCACATCTTGAGCATCTCACAGCATTGAAAATTAGCCAGTCAGTGCTTTTCCCAGAACTAAATCCAGCACAGTGTGTTGTTCTAACTGTGTTCTGAAATTTCCATCCCACTCTTCTCCTGGACCCTTCTCTCAAGGATCAAGGGAACAGAACACAAAGGTTCCGTAGAGATTTAAACCTTGGGGTTCTTTTTTCTGCTTCATCAATGTGAACCCTGCAAAAATGCTCCTACTAACTTTTAACTGAACAAATACTGAATAACCAGCAGCAGTTCATGGAGATTCAAAAGCATTTGGTCTATGGTGCAGCAAACCTTCCTCAGGTGAGGAGGTTACCAGCTTCTTTTGAATGTAACATTAAATGAAGATCTGGGTTCATTCCAACAAGCCAGCATTGTGGAGCTGCCCAGTAGTCCCTAGTGGCACTGCCTAGAGCTGTGGCTGCACGTGGTGCCATCTGATGGTCACTGAGAGGCTGCTGCTTTTCACTGACCCCTGGCATTTACAGCATTTGCTTTGGGAACTGTGGCACACCACCACTGCTGTGGTCTCCTTCAGTTTTTCTGCTAATATGCTTTAAACAGGCAGTGTGCAGAGAGGTTTACCAGCTAAAAGGTGGAATTCACAAGTACCTAGAAGAGTTTCCAGATGGATTCTACAGGGGGAAGCTGTTTGTATTTGATGATCGTTACGCCATTTGTTCCAATGAAGATATCATCTCAGGTAGGACTAGATAATGTAAGTGCAGAAGGATGGGAAACTTGCAATAAAATCTAGAGGTATGCAGGATAAGGACAGCCAAATTGGCCTGTGTAGTTCTTCCTCGTACTTGGTTTGATCTCGTAGTGCTGTCATTTCTTGTGATGACTATCAACACTATATGTAAACATGTACATGTGCTTTAATATGTAAAATAGAAATGAGAGGAAAGGGGGTCACTAACAAGAGTTCACTAAAACTGAAGCAGGAAAAGGAAGTATCCCCTGCAGAAAGCTCTTTTATGAGCCATCTGCACCTATGGAGACATATGTCCGGCACTACAGCTGTTGTTACCACCTGATTGCCCACAGTGCTGAGCAGACTGTGGTTGGCCAAGTGACCAGTGTTAAATAGTTCTCCTGCTATCAGCAGTCCTCTGGTCCAGCAGTCTCATGGAATATCAAAAAAGACTTCCAGGTATTGGGAAAATAGTGACACTATATTCTGCAGCACTTTGTTATTTTCATGCTTAAGAAATTCTATATCCAATGGAATTTCAGTGGCCTCTAGCTGAAATTGTTAAGAACATTGCCTGATCTTCTGGCTGGGATTGCTCTTCAATTACTGCAAATTAAGTAGTCTTCTGTTTTACTATCAGTTGCCAGACAAAACTAGCTGGAATTTGGCTCTATCCCTTTTTTAAAAGAAGCAGTGCTATTTTTTCTTTGACTTGGTAGCTTTTCAAGCATAACCTCCCATTTCTCCTCTGCATTTATTCTATACATCTTGAAAGGGCCTGACTTGGTATGGAAACAGAACAAACTCTGGATACATCACAGCCATCCCTACAGAAGTTTCAAGGGGAAGTGCTGTGATACGCATCTTTTTGGTACAGCTAAAACTGGGCTGTAGCTTTCAGTTAAAGAGTTAAAACCTGTGATGTTCTGGAAGGACTCTGCCAGGACTGCAAATGTCTGCACAAGCCATTGTTTGTAGATCGAAGGAAGTTCCATGGCATCCTCTTCCTCAGCAGGTGACATTCCTGCATTCTGGCTTAGTTGCCATCTACATGTCTTTTTTCTCTTATCAGTAAGAATCTCTATATCTATAGTCTCTTTAGAACTAGAGGAAGCACAAGTGAGCTACTCTTCTTTTTTCCAGAGGGAAAACTTAAGTCTTAAGTATGTCAAAAAATATGTTCTAAAGTGAACTAGATTCTAGAAGATCAAGCTAAACAGGAATTAAAAACCTGCAAGACAATAACCACTTAAATGAGAACTGGCAGCCCCATGGTGCCTTGGCAAGAAGCCCTCTGCAAGGGAGCAGCCAGAGCAGTATGGGTGTTAACTTTTTCTTTTCCTCCTCCCTCCAGCATGCAGATACTGTGGGGTGCTGTGGGACCAGTATAAACTTTGTTCCAGTCAGCACTGCCGGCAGCTTGTTCTGACATGTCCAGGTTGTTGCAACAAAGGTCTTACAGCTTGCTGTCCTGTTTGTCAAGAGAAGGAGCTCAAGGTGACTTCAAGGGCTTCAGGACAGATACTTAAGGAGGAATGTGAATGTACAAGGAGACGGCCAAGGGTACCAATTGAACATGTCTCACCAAGGATGCTGGACACAGGAAAATATTAAGCTGTTTAATTGGTTAATCTGGCATGTGCTCATGTAAAGGGGTTCTGTAACCAGATCTCTATCTGTTAATCAGTTAGATTTGGAAATTATGAAAATATGTCGGCTTGGAAAGTCTTGTTCATATGCTGCCTTTAAACATAGAATATGCCCTGAAAACCATCCATTATTTGCCTATAAATTACCAGAGTGCCCGATCCATCACCAGCACTACAGGACTTCTCTCTGGGTACAGTCTTGTAGTGTGGCCTTTACCATGGGGATTTTGGAGCAGAATGTCTGCAATGTGACAGAGCTGCTCACAATTCAAAAGAAACTGAAGGAATTCAAGAACAATTCAAATTTTTTCTTCCTGCTTGGAGATCAACCTGTCTGACCTCTCCAAGGATCATGCATCTGCTTCAATAGCTTGTAGTAAGGTCTGCAAACAGCAGATTTATTAATTTGGTGTGGGTATGTGACCAGATTAGATCCTGAAGACAATGCACACCGTCAACCTGCATCTCTTGCTTTATAGCAGTGAGAAGCAAGGCAAAGTTACCTGAAATTACTGGCTTAACTCTCGTGTAAAACTGGCTGAAGGCAGCATAAGGAGCTGGAGTGAAGGCCCAGAGGTACTGTTTGCCTAGCCACACTTGTGTGACCTGTAGGAAGAAAGCAACCCCAATCTTCTTTCCAGTGCTCAGTCTCCCTGGGAACTATATTTTCCTCTCAGCTTGTCAGTGTATGAAATAGGCAGGCCTTAGCTCTGCTTGCACAAAAAAAGCGTGACAGCTTGAAGCATGTTGAAATAAGCACATAAAGAGGGGAGCACAGAGACTGTCAAAATACCAGCATCATGGCACTGAAGTATGTGTGTGTGCATAAGTGTAAGCAGTAGCTATGAGGAGACTGCAAGATCCTTTATCCAGGTTAAATAATTCAAGTTCTGGGAAGCATTTGTGCTTTTTAAACATGAGTTGAGTTTTTTAAAAGCTGCAAGATGTTTCTGCAATTTCCAGCACTTGTTAGTGCAGAAATTGTCTTTGAAGGGACCTACAGCAGATGAGCTTAAAATACTGCTCCACGTGCTGTATTGTGTGCCTGATGGTATAGAATATACAGAAAGGATTTATTAATAGTGTGGAAGATGTGTCTTGATTGAAAAATATCTTTGAAAATTCCTGTCATTCTGGAAACTATAAACAGTAAGTCATTAGGACATCAAAGTCACTAAGTGTAGGGTTTTTTACTGGAAAATGCTTCTAAATGCAAGAAAATAGTTTCTTAGGTTTCTGCAGTTGCCTAATGACAGGACTATGTTATTTTCATATAGATTGTACCTTTCTCCCATGGTGCTATTAATTCAACAAGGCCTCATTGTTGGCTTGACTAGGAAATTAAATACATGGGCATTGGTTCCATTAAAGCCATGACAAACGTTTCTTCTTGCTTCCAGTATTGCAACCATGAAATTAATTGTTCACCATCTGTCCTCACAACAGTTCCATTAATGAGGAAAAACCCTGGAGCTTAGGAGTATTTTCTTTACGAATCTTTCTAGGATAGTATTTAGTGGTAAATCTGTGAACAACCCATCCTTAAGAAGAAATTAGAAAATTCCCATCAGGAGACACCTTCAGCAGAAGTCTGAGCAGTGCCAATGTCTCCCTGGCTTCCCAGTCCCTGCTGGCCAGTTGACCTCTGTGGTTTTGTGGACTGGAGTATTTGTGAAGAAACATGCTAGCTCTACTTATGGATCTGGTCTAAAGCACTGATGGGGAGTGCCCCATGATCTTCCGGTCTTAGGCTAAAAAGAACACAATTTTGTAATTCAGTCTTATCAGCACATCTGGAATACTGTAAGAAATTTGTAATGCTGTTTCTGTATCACTTATCAGTACAGGACAGCAACAACTATATTTTATATGTAAAATTCTGAAACATCTATGATAACCTTTACTGCTTCCATTAGAATTCTTTAAGTACTGCACAAATACACTTCACGTGCTATGTTGGAGGTGCTTAATTCTGCAGAGGTAAACACTGAAACTAGCTAGTCTCCCACATACCTGGCTACAAGGTACAATTCTCCTGAGAACTCCTCACAGCTGGAGATTCTACCTCAAAGGCAGAGGGGAGCCATAAGGCCTCTCCTGGTCCTTGCTGCACTAAGGTAAGGGAGAAGAAGGATTTGAGATGTACAGAGTCCCAAAAAGCCATGTTTTCTCTGCTGCAGAGAGCAGAGAAGGGGATAAGAGACCGTTTTAGCTGCCTTCTTGCATGTTAGCCCATAAGGGGTTAACTGTCATGTGTTCTGGGTTTGTTTTGTCAGATTAATACAAATAAGGACATGCCATGTGAAAAGCTATGTGGTGGTATCCGGGCATCTCAGCAGTAATGTCTGAAAGAAGGCACATGTTCAGGAGAGGGAAGAGTTTTCAGCAGGATGGGCTGTCACTGCCAGATGCTACAGATGGCTTTTCCTCCCTTTTACTGGGGAGCTGCTGAGCCATATTTGCAAACAGGGACACATTTGCTCCTAAGTAGCACCATTTTGTAGCTCCATTGCTGCACAGCTTACAGCCTTTCACCACACAGTGTGATGCCTCAGCTTTGTGAGGATCAGGCAAAGCTCCTGGGATGATCCTGACAGATTAAGATCCTTCCTTTGGGCTGCATGGTTAATGTGGATGCTGCTACAGTGAAACAGTGAAACACAGGACAAAATTATTTTTCTTTCTTTTTTTTTTTTTTTTTTTTTTTTTTTTTTTTTTTTTTAAGGGTTGTAGTAGTATCTGTGTGGTAGTGCTCCCTGGTCTGCAGATGCATCTCCTTGCATGTCTGTGCTTCTTAGTACCACCAGGGCTTTTCAGGATAAGATTCATTTATGTTCTGAAACCAAGGGGAGAGCTGAACCTTTGTTGTGCAAATCCAAGTAGATGGCTCAGGTAAAAGTGTGTAGCTGTAATTTGATTATTTAGTCAGTCATTTCAGAGTCTTCACGGTGCACATAGAAGGAAGTACTTTTTTAAGTCTGTCAGGTTTTTTTCATTTTCATATGTTTTCCAAGTATTTTTATTCCACATTCATTTTCTGATACAGAACTTGCACAGTGGAGGAAACAAGCTATGGTGAGGCATTTTATATGACACCACAGGCACGTTTATTGAGATTTGGAGAGCAGTGAGTATGTTTCCCACATTGCTGAATAGTGTTCCTCTGCTTCACTGGTCAGAGCTAAATCATCACTGTTGTTTGGGCACAAGCTCTGGAGAAATCTCTGTGACTTTTGCCAGACTGTATGTAAAAGGCTGAAAAACTTCACTCTTTAACAGACATTTAAAGGAAGATTTCTAGCCAGAGACATTTTCTATGATGTATCATCTGCCCAAGATTAAGGTTTCAGTACATCAATGCTTCTTCCATGGAGACTACTTACTGAGCAGGATCCCACCCACATTAACAGTGGGAGTTTTGGATGTGCTGGATCCAGTCTCCTGCAGGTCTGGGAGATCCACAAGCTGGTGGGGGATTCCTCCCAGACTGGATGATGAGTATACTGGATCATGATAAAAAGCTGTGAGACTGTATGTAGCGTAAGTTCATATTTGGGGTATTTCACTTCACAGCTTTTTTAGGGCACAACATTTATTCGTGCATTTATGTGGACATAAGGGACACCAGTAAGAGAAAATAATTTGTAGCAGAACAAAATTTAGTTAATGGATATGGTCATCTAGACAAAACAGCAAAGGGAGAGAATTTGACCTGTCTTCAGTGACTGTGTGGACAAATGCTTTTAACACTAGGAAACTGAAAAGAGTGGGGAGTAGAAGAGAAGGCTTTCATTTGCTGGTTGATTTGGCCATCTCTGGGGGTTAGGGTTTGCATCACATCTCTTAGAATGACTGTTTTCTTTACACATGCATGGACTGAAGGGTATTCACCCATCTAAACCACTTGATTTTTGAGACTGTTTTATATTTGGTGGCCTTAAATTTCATTTAACTGGGGGGTGGAGATCAGTTTTTCTTTTAAGAAACACTGGGATGCATTTGATGCAGCATTTCAAATGATTCAGCAAATGTTGGCAAAAAATTGTGACTCACAGTTCTTGAAATTAGCCATGTTTCCAGATGTTAGAAGTGCTTGTTAAACTAGTTACTCCTCTGTAGTTACTTGAGATCAACGTTGAAAAATAAAATAAAGTATTTTTTTAATACTTCTCTAATTTGTGTGAAACAATTGTATCTTTCATTCATGCATACCACATCCTAACTATGAAACACCGTGCAGGAATTTTATAGAAAAATGAATCCCCTTTAACACTGGATTGTACTCAGTTTAAGTTTGCATAAAATTGACACGTTGGCTTGAATAGTTTCCAACTCTACAGAAAACATCAACAGTCGTACTGGATAAAATCTTCATAAAAACTACAGCCACTAATTCATTTCAACTGTTAGTGCATAAAACAGGCACAGAGGCGCACCACAAATACTCTGTCAAGGCACTTATTGCCTTTAGATTTCCACAGTGTAGCAGAGATCACTGGGAATGATTTCCATAGCCAGGAACTACACTCCAGTTCTGCACTTGGGAAAAATAGGCCCATTCACCTCTGCAAGTCTTCTCTTCCTCACTGAAAAACAATAGAAAGAGGAGTCAGTCATAGCTACACGATAATGTGGATGGCAGGCTAGCCTTAACAGCTGTAGAAAGGAGCTGAAAGATGTACTTTCTGCCAAGAAAGAAACAGGAATTCATCAGCTTTTGAATCCCTGCCTTAAGCAGCAGGCACAGCCTTACACACTAAAATTAAGGAAGATGTGGTCTTTCTCCCTATGCATTTTTAAGGCCAGCACCTACTTTCAGTCTTACCTCCCTTATTCTGTAGTTAATTATATTTCACAGTTTGTCTTTATAATTGGACTTTGGCCAGTTCACCATCTGACTGGTGGAAAGACAGCAGGAAACAGATGTCACAGTTTTTCCTTTGCTAGTTTTTCAAATTAAAATATCTGCCTTTCCAATTAAAAAAAAAAAAAATTAAAAATCTCTTCTTACCCTAAGCCATTGGGCCCCAGTCCTCTGATCATGGTTAACATAGCCAAAACAGTTTCATTTCTAGATTTAAAAGTTGATTTATACCTCTTGACACCTACACTTGTGTCTTCCCAAGAAAAGTGTGGGGAAAAAAAAAACAGAACAAAAATGTATAGAGGGGATGCAGAAGTTAGCTGATGAAGATGAACATAAAAGCCTTCAGGCAGTTCACACGGAACATCTTAAGGAACAGAAGGTATGGGACCAAAACCATGTTCTGGTAGCATCAGTTGATAGGCAAGAACACTGGAGTGGAGCACAAGCAGAGAACTATTGCTGATAGGGAGAAAAATAAAAGGTTGTTTTACTTATACAATGTCCAGGTGTAGAGATGAGATGCTATTGCCAGAGACCATTCAGACCAATGAATATAAGCTGCAAACAAAAACCAAATCAGAGAAAAAATGCAGATCTTAGTGGCCAAGGAGGCAAAATACACAACTCTTACATGGAAGACAAGTTCTGAATTCATCCTCTTAACAGCAGGAACAATCAAAATACTAGACTCTAAATCTTCAAGCTGATTACTTTGCATGCCAGGTGCTGCAGAGTAATTTAAAATCATGCTGTGTTCCAAAGGACAAAAAAAAGCAACTCTTTCCCAGTGCAGTGCTTGAGTGATCAGGTACTGAGTATTTTGTGTGATCCTGGCACATAGCTTGGCTGTGCTTCTTAGAAGCAGAGTACTGGCTGAAGGAAGATTTTTTTTCCATTTGTTTTCAAAACACAACAAATTTATCATCTGCCTAGATATGACAGCTGCTGAATACAGCATGGTGAGTGTGTTAGCTACACTCAGCACTGTTCTGCTGGCCTGGTTTCCTGTGCTCTACAGCAGCTTGTAGCTAAGCAATGGAAAGGCTCTGTCACGTGCTTTGGCTGAAATGGCAGTTTGCAGACTTGCCCACATTTTGCTTCACAAGCATGTCTAATCACATCATTGAGGGTATACAGATAACTCAAAGCAATGTGGCTTCCCACATATCCCTAGAAGCAGTTCCAGTTTGTTTTGGTGAGGGGATGGGCCAAATCTTAACTGCTGTCAAAGTTCAACTTTACTATTTTTCATCTTGTTAAAGTGGGAATGAAGATGTAGGAAGACAAGCAGTTGGCAGGAATCACAAATGCTAGAAACTTCTGGCCCATGTGCTACATGCTGTATCAGAAGTTCTACCGAACCACATCAGCAGGTCTTGCTCTTTCGCAACAATACCCACTGTTACTGCAAAAAACACTGCCTGGCTACAGTTGGTGAAGGATGCCTTCCTCCTTGAGGGGCAAAGCATCATCAGGCCCTTCAAGAGGCACATTCTAATTCATACGATCTGTAACATGAGCAGTTCTGCCCTAATCCCACCAGGAATTGCCCACAGGACCCTCCCACACTTCCCAGCTTTTGGCCAGTCTGACTCACCCAGGTCGTTGTTACTCATCATGGCATTGGAGGCGCGAAGCCGAGGACCTTGCTGAGTGAAATGGTACCCAAACTTCAGTAGGGAGGTGTTCTTTTCCAATATATTTGCGATTTCCATTTCTACTTTGTTGCCCAAGGGCTGACTCTTTTAAAATAGAAAACAGAAAAGCAAGCTGTTCAGGCTGGAGGGTTATTGAGAGCAAAAATTTAGAGGGAAGGGGGGGAGATTGCAGATCTTTCTCTTGACTTGTGTCCATTTCTGACTTGGAGCTGGTAAAACAAACCGCTGGCCTGTTCCTGTACACATGCTACAACTGAGAGGCTCCAACTCCTCCAGCAGACATTCCCACAAGTCCTTTTGCCCAAAGACTTTATTTCTTGGACAGATTAGCAGCTAATGGACATCTGGAGAAATCAGGATTTTGGTCTGTCAGTCAGATGTCTCTGAGTTGCCCACAGCTCAGGTGCTTCAAGCCCTGGGTTTCTCAGGGAGCTGCTCTTGCCCAGCCTCTGTGTCTGCGCACTCGGCTCCCCACGCGCAGGCTCACCTGACCAGAGCTGTCACCCACACTCACATTACCTGGTTGTCAATGCGCAGCTCCACAAGCGACGTGTTACTCTCGAGTGCTTCAACGATAGCCAGGATCCCCGACCCAGAAATGAAGTTTGACTCCACATTCAGGCTCTTCAGTGTGCTATTGACCTTCAACATTTCTGCCAGGGCCTGTGGACAGAGGTGGGCAGGAAGAGCTGGCAGTCAGACAGGCAGGGGCAGAGCACCACAGGGCAGCAGGGCTTCAGCCCCCCTCACCTCCAGAGTACTCCTCGAGGATTCCACATGCTGTGCAGTTTCACTGCCACCAGATGAAGTGCTCTTTGTGGACTGAACGGGGTTCCCTGCTGCTGCAGGGGGATTCTTGAACATGAGCATGCTGGAGGCCACAGCAAAACCTCGCATGGACAAACATTAGGGGCTACCCCAAAAGGCGATAGTCCACACCTGCAGATGCCCTGTGACAGCTTCATCTGTCCCTCCTCTAAAGCCAGCATAGTATGACAAGGATACTGACCAGCAGTGGCCCTGCCTCCATTCTGATGAGTCTCTGCCTGCACTGGCACAGGGTTGAGATGCTTGCCATTAAAACATGCAGAGAGAGGAGCATCTGTCTTGAACAACAAGGCATCTCCACATCCAAGGTGTCCTCCCAAGCAGCATCACAACCATATTAATCATTTCTTCTTCCTTTAGTAGGTAAGACCAGAAGTGGCTGGAATGCTTGTAACACCTCAGACCTGATCAGATCATGTCACTTGAAATAAACTGCAAGGAAGGATCCATGTACATGATGAAGCAAAAGGACCAGAAGGTGATGTCCAAATGGCAGGGCTGACCTGCATCCACCGCACTTAGCCCCACAGCTCCCCTAGCCCAGCACAGCACCCGTCAAGCTCTGACACAGCACCTGTCCTGTACAGGCTTTCTCCCCAGTCCAGAGCGCCTGAAGTAATTTAAAAGCAGTACTTGCCCTCCAGAAAGTTTCTTTTCCTAGCAGGAAACTGGTGTGCATGTGTGTGTGTCTCTCTGTGTGTTTGTGTGTGTGTGTCTGTGTGTGTGTGTGTAGGCAGGCAGGGATAACCTGGGTGACTAGGAGCAAAAACTGACTGCAATGGTGCTGGAGAAGGATGCAAAGATGCAGCCTAGAAGGCAGCAGGAAGGCCATGCAGAATGACTGGCTTCTCTCTGCATTTCCACTGATCACTCACAGCAGCCAGAAAGACTCATTGTCACCTACAGAGGCTACACCTTAGGAGGTACAGAGTCCTGCTTCTGCACACATCTGCACAAAGAATGTATGAGAAACAGCTGGAACAGACATATGTGAGGGGAGCAGTAGGTGTGCCAACAGAAACAAATCTCCAGAGACAGAGACAAACTGCTTTTAGAAGATGCCACTAGGACATCAATTGTCGTCTCATGCTCCTTTTCCAGGAGATCCCAGAGGACAAATATGAGACTGGATGGATTAAAGGACTGCACCCTGAAACCTCCACAGATGAAAAATAAAGTGAATGAACCAAAACCTGTCTGTTGCTGGCTTCCATAAGAGCTCCTGAAACTGAAGCACCAGCAAACAGCCAGAGTGTGGAATGTGCCAAACAACACAAGGTGCAGAAGCAGTCAGTCAATAATGATGAAAATATCTTGCCTGGGAGCAGCTCCTGTCACAACACTGGGACGATGAGCTCACAGTACTTACAAAAGCAACAGGATCGTTGCTCCGGGTCCCAACTATGCTGAACTTCTTCACATATGTGTTGTTTTTCAGTGCTTCCGCAAAAGCTTTTAGAGTTGGTATGGGAATATTCTGTGACAAGAAATGCAGAAACCATGTATTAGGTCATCATCTGTTTGCAATGAATATGCAATACATGTAAAAGATACTTTTAACTTCTCATCAAGGTCAAATCCCCAAATGCACTGAAATAATTTGGGAAGGGGTTGAAAAATGTTTTTACAAGTCCTTTTGCTATAACCAGCATCTTCTAAGGAGCATGGCAATGTTTTCATCCTATTTTGTGCCCTGCTGAAAGCTCACTGCCTTGATTTGAAGCCACAGTTCTCCTCTTTATTTGCCCAGAAACTCAGCTACCTAAGAACATGGGCATTGTGGGGATTTTTGTAACCAGGACCTGTGAGCCTACAAAGCACT